GACAAAAAACATCCTCATCTTTGTTGTTGTTATCACAACATTTCAGCCATTGTGCTCTCTAGCCTTCCTCAGGTATCTGTCAAGCCAGGTAACCTTCAGAGAATTTTGAACTGAACCATTATTTAATCTACTGGGTTAGATTTTTCCTCCACCTGTAGTTGATATCTAGAGATCTCTTGTCTTGTTCTTTTTAGCACTGCTTAGTTATTGTTTGGCTTCTTTCTACCAAGTCTGAGTCAAGGATTGAACTCATAATTATTATGCCACCCTCACATTCATATTATGCCACCCTCACATTCATATTAAACACTTTAATTATTTGATGTATTCATAGAAATGAACATGTTGGATATAGAAAAAGTTTATATTTTCAGTTAATATCTCACCATTTACAGGAGAAAAAGAAGTACAAGGTTATTGACAAGCTGACATGTAATTTCAGTTGTTGGTGAGTTTTTTTCCTCTGTAACCATCTCACATATCTCTTTAGTGTCACTAGCCATACATTTGCGTAGCTGACATAGCATTTTTGAGTCAGCTGACTACAACCTCTTGCAAAGTTTGGTAATTATCTGTTTTTAGTGGATAAAAACTCAAAGATTTTTGAATTTACTTGATGTTGATCAACTTCAGTGATCATGCAGAACCAATGTTTCAATGTAATGTGACCGTAAGCCTTCACTATTGGTTGCTGTCATCTTCAAAATACTCCCCTTGTGACGTTGACAGCATTTCATTTTGCCACTCACAAAATATATTTAATTCTTTTTAATGATTTCACACCAAGCAAGGCTATAAAGCCACTAAGATGCAAAGGGTTAATGAGATTGAAAGAAACTGAAAAAACATTGAGGAGAGAGAAAGAATAATAAAAGACCAGAATTTAAAAAAGACAAATGACAATTGACATCATGTTTAAATTTTTGAAGACCATATTTGACAGAATTGCAAGAAGCTGGAAGAGACTTCCATAAGTGAAAAGTGTGAGATAAAAAAACTATTAAAATAGAGCTTATGATTATATCAAACAATTTCAACAGTGAAATGGTGAGACCTAGCTGCCAATCTAGTACTGCCCTTAAATTTGTGAAGTCAAGGTACCAAGGAGGAAAGTTTATCAGAACAATTACTATGAAAATGTTTATAGAAAATGCACAGGCAAGCTATGTTACAGCAATGAAGCTGAAATGCCAAGTCAGGATTTATAACATTACAGATGTTTCTTTGGATTTTGTCAAGAATGAAGAAATTTGCATGTATTTTTTGTCTTATGCATTATGCCATCATAAATAGCAGACACCATTCTTAAAAAAATAACCAAAAACTGCAAACTGAACAACATCCACAATTTTCCCTCATCTTGATAATGGTCAGAAATAATGAAAAAATGAAATATTTAAAGAATTGGATTTTATTAACACAAGATTTTTGCAATCAGGATTGCCAGAAGAAAATGAAAAAGATTTGTCATCTCATTGGATTTTTGTAGAATGCTATCCACAGGATTGACATATAATCTCATCCCACATTATGTTTGCTGATGAACTGATCAGATGACATTAATTCCTGCTTGGTTGTGAAATGAAAACAATTAATTCTTGGCATTCAAAACATGAAAACTAGGGTCACTTCCTTTGTTAAGCCATTGTGAAAAAAAGTTGAAAAAAAAAAAAGGCCCAAAAGAAAAAAACAATTTATATCTCTTTTTTTTTTTTTTTTTTTTTTTAATTCAATAAGAATTGTCACTAAGTGTTTACAGATTATATTTTGCTTCAGCATTATTTCAAAAACATACCCATTTATTTTATTTAAAAACACATCCATGTCCTCATTTTTAAATGTCAATAGAATGTTTCTTGAGAGGGATGTACATAAAAATAATAAATATTATGAGGATATTAGTCTGAAAGAATCATTAAATTGCAAGAATATCTCATTTGAGAAATTGAGAAAGACTTGGACATCAGATACATAGCAGGCTGACTAGTTATGGGAGGGTTTTAGACTACCTTCTGTAAATGTTACCAGCAGGGTGAAGGGCAGAAAGATTTAGGTATTCTTAAAAAAAAAACTATGTTGATGAAAAAGAAGAAGAACAAGAGAAACTTTAGACCAACCATGAAAAGGAAACTTTAAAAACAAAGAATTTTCAAAAAGATCATTAAAGGACCCATAGAAACACGTGGAAGCCAAGCAGAAAGAAAATCAAATGACATTGCAAAAATATCATTAAACTTTCCAGAGACTCTCATGGGAAAAACTAAAGTGAGTTTTTTCATTTATTTATTAGATGAGTGCACCTTCTTTTTCTAAGTAATTTCTTCCTTTTTTCAACAGTTTTTGTAGCATCTTCTCAAAGTTTTTTCTTTCATTATTTAGAGCCAATTATTTTAAAATTTTGTTATCTTGCCTTGTTCATAATAAGGTGCATAAAAGAAAATTTTGTGCAAATCTTTTATTTGTAAAATTTTTATTTTGTTTTATATTATTGTAACAAATGTTTGTAATTTTATCAAGGTTCAAAAAAACAACTAATGAAAAATTCACAAATATTTCAATTAGCAAATTTTGCTAAGACTCACTTGTGTATTATTAAAAGAAGCTTACTCCACATCACTTGCTGTCCGTCAATGAAAAGCAGTTTAAGGTGTAATGAATTCATGCTTTTTAAAATATGTATCTTTGTAAATTTGTTTATAAACAGAAAAGAACTTACATTTGTTAATCTTTTTCTTGAAGTTGTCAGTTTGTATTTACCTCTTTCCAAATTCTATTTTCCAAATTTAGATAATTTTTTGTAATCTTCCCCATACTCATCCAGTTAATAAGCCTGAACTGAACCTTTTATTTATTAACAACTCATGACCTGGATATTTTTCTAACATCATATTAGTGAAATAATTTAGCTGTTCCAAAACACCCATGACTTTCATTGCCATCATCACCATATATAAATTTAAGAAGTATTCAATTGATTGCTAGAATGAGACCATTTCAAGGACAAATCTTATTAGGTTTTCTTAGTTGGATAAAATTTGTACAGCAAAAGGTCAATTTGATACAGGGAAGATTTTGTTTCATGAATTATCAAGTAGAGAGGGCTGACTTGTCTACATGGAAAAAAAAACTCTTTTTATTTGCATTTGAACAGTAATCAGTGACAATTTGCAAGAAATAAAAAAATGATTTTTAGAAATTACTATTTCCAGATTTGTAAAAATGACTTCAATCAATTTGTGGATGCAATTATATTAAAAGATTTCTAAGAATTAAAAATTTTTAGTAATTAAATTTCTGAAGACCAAACTTGTCCAAATTTTTGTTTATTAATAATTATGTGTTTGTTAGTTCTGCTATCATAGGTAAGACTCATTAAATAAATATCAAAAGTTTCATTTAGTTGATTCTATAAATATTGACACAGCAAATACTAAAAGCATAGAGAGAAAGCGAACACATCAATATTATTAAAATAGATTTTGTGTGGGAAAAGAAAGCAAATATTCACACACTTGATTATTAAATATTTATCTATTTTCTGCTTAAAACTGAAACCAGAGAATAGAAAAGGTACATTTTTGGTGAACCTGATAGCAGAATTTGGCAAATGGTTGACTTGAGCTTATTCACATAGCCGTGAATGAATGAAAATTGCCATTTGTAGAAATTAAAAGAGGAATAATTTTACGATTGAATTGTGGAAATTCTCTTTGAAAATTATTTGAGCAGGTTTTATCAATTGACCTGTATACTGTGTCTTGAAAACAAGTGAAAAGAAATTGAAAATGTTCAGGAATAGGGTTGTTGTTGTTATTATTATTATTATTATATCTAAAAGGTAAAAATGTTTATTATAAAAGCATTGCAACTGGGTGTGTTCACTTCTTACTCTACATTCTGCAATTGCAGTCTTTTTCAGATTAAACTAAATTTAGTAAACTTAATGTTTTTTGAAGTGGTTGGTGATATTACTGATCTGCGTAAGGACCACTTCATTAAATCCTGTTCATTGACAACCTGATAAATATGTCCTAGTAGATATTGTTCATTGATGACCGGATAAATATGTCCTAGTAGATCTTGTTCATTGATGACCCAATAAATATGTCCTGTGACCAAAGCTGGTAACAAATTGTATGTAAAAAATCTGTGAAGACCAGATGGTAAGAACTTAATCATTGGCACAGAGCTTGGGTTTTGTTGTAAAACTTTAGAGGACCTGAAATTGCAACTGTAGTGCCAAATTGGTGAGTCTCATTATTTGATTAGTAGAAAGAAAATTTTCATTTTAGACAGAATCTGATGGTTTTTCTTCTGAGATTAATTAAAGGTTGAGAATAATTTGGATATTTTGGTCAATTTTGGTTTCTTTAATTGGACATTATTAAATAAACTTTGTTGGTTTAAGATTGATTTTGGAGTGTCTATGTGAGTCTTTGATAACATTCTTCAATTTGTCCTCAAATTTTGGCTGGAATTTGGTTATTCTCTTATTATTGTAGAGATTAATATTTTCACAAATTGAAATAAATAAACATTGTTGGTATGGGGCTGAAAAGCAAGAATCTTGAATAATCTACATTCATCTATTTATATGTTTGTCAAATTTGCAACATAATGTATAAACAAAACAATTGAAATCAGACCAAAAACATTTTATTCACAATGTAGATACATAGATAATGTCTTGATTTATGCTTGGAAAAATAGTAAATATATTAAAACAAAAAACAATAACATTGGACGGATTTGATCTTTTTTTAATACTTTCTTAAAATTTGAATAAAAGGTTTTATTTTTAGTCATATTGTTTGTTTGTTGTTCTATTTACTTTACATCAGTAAGTAAAGAAGGAGAACATGTTAACTAATAAAGTCTTCAAATAAACAAGAGATTCGCTTATCACTGTTTCGTTCATAACATTATAACAAATTGTGTGGACGGATTTTGTTTTTATTTGCAATAAATGACTGACAACAACATTGACAAACATTCCGTATCTACTTATTTGTATTTGGGAGATATGTAGAGTAATATAGGAGAAGGAGAAGGAGAAGAAGAAGGAGAAGGAGAAGAAGAAGGAGAAGGAGAAGAAGAAGGAGAAGGAGAAGAAGAAGGAAAAGAAGAAGGAGAAGGAGAAGAAGAAGGAAAAGAAGAAGGAGAAGGAGAAGAAGATGATTTTGGAACATCTTCTCATGTATCTTGAGACTACATTAAAAGGAAAAGAAGAATTTCCAGGCATTTGATTAGGTTCATGTCATCAATGAAGCTTGAATTAATAGTGAAAAAAACAGAAAGATACAAGATTCCAGAAGAAATAACTAAAGAGATTAAAGTGAAAAGACTATCAACAAGGTTAGGGTTAGTGCTTAGGGGTTGATTGCAGAAACAGGAAGTTGCTGCAATGATTTCTGAGACAAACCTTCTTCACGCAAAATCACTTTCATTTAGAATTCATTCATAGATTTATTTTCATCTTTTTATTTCAATTATTTTCATTAGAATTTCTTATAAACAATGAGAATGAATTGAAGTTTCTCCATTTTATCAAGAAACAAATTTAGTTTTATATTTGGAAAAAGTCACAATTTGTCCTGGGAGATTTGAGGCAAAAGGCCAAAGGGAGCAATAAAATAAACTTTTGATTTCAATATAATTTTTAATAGAAAAATATAAACAAAGGATAAAATAAGTCAAAGATTTGTTTTATTTGGGAGTAAAAAAAAATGAGAAAAGAAGAAAAAATATAAGAGGAAAACAAGAAAGAAGAAACCAATGAAGAAAAAAAAATGTAAACCTAGAAAGGGATGAATGAAACTGATGTATGGACAAGGAATATTGAAAGGGAGAAGAAGTAGGGTAGGTATAGATAACATGCAAAGGAAAATAACTTAGTCTGGCACAAGACCAAATGGTCACTAGTGAGAAGGGTTAAAGAGGATAGGAAGATTGTGTTGCACCAATCTTTTAAATGTAGTTGGCTGAACCCTGGTTTGAATGTTGACTGGTATGAGTGGAAAGTATTAAACAATTTCTAAAAAAAATCGCAAAATAAAAGAAGTTCAATCTGTAATTCTTGAGATAGAAATTGGCAAGTTTATTTTAAATAAAACCAATTAAATGTCTTTTAGTAATCCTGTGCCTGTCATCTATGAGAGACGGATGCCAGGCATGAGGAAATATAAAGTTTTTCTCTTCCTAATGTAAATGAGTCACAATCAGAAAACAAGGAAACTGGATTTGTTATCTTTATTCTATCATTTAAGATCAGGCAATTAAAGAAAGAACAACTTATTCTACAGAACAGATAAGCATAGAAACAGCATATGTTGGAAAAAAATGTCCATCCCTAACCACAATTGTTTGTCACCCCCAACTGCCTATTGAAGTCACAAGTTCCAAGGTAACATGATATTATATAACCAACTAAACATAAGTCATAACAGAATTTTGATACCCAAGAGGCACAATGTTGTGGGGTTGCCAGTTCAAATTTTCATTGCTGGAGTTTAATATTTCGGGAACAGATACACAATATTGGTGAATCTGGTTGGTCATGATTTTAAAAGCCACTTCTAGTGAGTTAATTTCCCACTCAAGACTCCATAATTATGGCCTTGTTCCAAAACTGACCACAAGACTAACATTTTTAAGAGGATTGTGTCCAAATTGAAGTTAAAAAAAAATAAATTCTTAATAATTAAGTAATTTAGTAATGATTAATTCTAAAATGTATTTTTTAATTCTTTTTATATTAAGAATTTTTAAGGAATTTATTTTTTGTTTTTGAGAACAAGACTTTGAAGTTGAAGAATGCAAAAAAAAAAGAGAGAAAGAACTGAACATTAAGAAAAAAATATAAACCCAAAAGAATTTGATGTAAGTTTAAGGCAAGAATTTTTTTTCAGGCTCTCTATCAGCTGAAATATTTGTATGTTTTCTACTCATATTAAATAATAACATTAAAGCCAAAAGTGAAAAAAGAAATACTGAATTGATTTTTTTCAAACCATGCAGTCATTCACCACCTTAGAAGATTGGTGCAACACAATCTTTCCTATTCAGCCTTGTGATAAATAAACCTAAGCCAAGAAAATATCAAGGAAGTTACACATTATTTTTCACCATTTTCAAACTATTTCTTTGTTCTTTGCACTTTAAGTGAAATTTAAGCTTTTAAATGAAGACTAATGAAATTTTGCAGTATTGGTAAGACTAATAAAATGTAATTCCTTCTGTTTTTACTCTGTGTAAACTTTATTTAAAAAAACACTATTTTCATTGGCAAAGTATTTTTAGTTAAAATTCAATTGATTTTCGTAGAAGAGCTTAATTGTTTAACTGTTATAAAATCTAAACATCGAATGAAAGGAAACTTTTATTCTGAAAAGAATATCTTTATCAAAAGATTGCCAGTAAAAATATTCAAGTTACCAAAAGAGGAATTCTTTTTCATTTATTGAATTGATTCCGTTGCCAAGTGCAACAAGGAAAGATATTTTATCTTAAATGATTGTCTGTAAAATTTAATATCAGAATATAAACATACAATGTCAAAGTGTGAATGCATAATAAAATGTAAAGTGAATAAGTCAGGTATTTAAAGGATTATTGTTTAGAATTGCTAAAATGTAAACTTAATCTCTCTGTGAATTGTCCTTTTTTAAAAAAAAAAAAAAAAAAAGACATTAAAAATAATCAAGTGAAACTAATTTCTTAGAGTTTTTTAAGATGTGAAAAGATTTGAAATGTAAACTAAACCTTGATCTGATGTTTCTATCTTGACACTTATTTGAAAAATGATTCAAAGTTGAATGCCTCCTGATTTCACTTTGCATTTAGGAACATTGGATAAAAGAATTTATATAAAAGAAAGCAAATCCAGATTTGAAAAATAAGAATAACTCATTTAAAGATTTGATGATTCATTTGCTTTATTTTAAAACCCAAATTTATCTGATCCTGAGTTCTAGTTTTTCTTTCAAAATATTTGTGTTCATATTTTTAAAAAATGTTTTCCTATTTTTAGGAAAAATAATCATTTTTATTTTCTTTAAAAGGATATTTTCATAAAAATAGGAAAGCATTTTTAAAAATATAAACAAAAAAATTTTGAAAGAAAAAATAGAACACAGGATAAGATAAATTTGAGTTTTGAAACTGGAGAGAAAGAGAGAGACAAAAGAGAGAATGAAAGTGAGAGACTAAAGAGAGAGAGAGAGAGAACGAGAGAGACTGTGTGTGTGTGTGCGTGTGTATGTAATAAAAAATTATGTTTTTTATTGTATATCTGATCTACATTAACTTTGAATTGATTCGAAAGCACTATTAGTAAAATAACAATCACAAGATATTAGGATCTGAATAATTTTGCATTGGTTTGGAAATTCAATTCGTATGAGATTCTGTAGTTGTATTTGGTATTCGAGAAGAGGAATTCATTCTGGTTGGTGTCGAAGAGAACTGTGTCCCTAGTGAAGGCATGTGGTAATAGCCACTTTCTATGAGAGCTCCTTCAATGATTGCTTGCATTTGTTCATAAGTCACTCCAATATCACAGTCAATCAGTTCACAGTTTGAGACTAGAAAAGAAAAGAAAAAAACTGAAAAGATTTCCAAGACCATTTTTTCAAGGCAGCGTGTGAATCTGTCTTTTGTTTATCTATTTTCTTTTGAAAATTTTTTATTCCAAGATATAAACCAGTCATTATGAGAGATTATTTATTCAATTTTAAATCAGGTCTGGTTTGCACACTTCTTTGAGAAGAAATAATCCAGCAACTGTATCAATAATGAGAAAATAACTTAAAATAATAAGAAGTTTTGTATGCAGAACAGAGTAACCATGTTTACAGATCACTAGAGCTATGTCATCAACATTTGCAACTTTATAATACTTCTGAAGCCTGATAGCTATTCTGATATTTCTTGTTATCTTGGTATAGCATTCATTTTAATTGGTTGTTGTTGTTGTTGAATGCAGTCTACTGTCATGTGCTTTATGCTGAAGTGTATGTGAATGTACTTGGACACTATATCTGGGTGTGTCTCTGAACTGTTCACACTAGGAAATAGATTCAACAGGTAGGGCCATGAGTCGCTTTAAACTTTTGAAGTTGCCAACATTTCAGCAAAATTGGGCTGTCTTAGTGAAGTATGACCACCATATTCTGTTTGTATAGTGCAGAGGTTTATTAGAGAATGTCACATGCTTGGCAAAAAGTGATTTTTCTATGTAAGCATAGTGGTTGGCTAAAGCAAAGTTTTAAATTATTTTAATCAATATTGTCATGGTTTCTTTTTAGGAGAAGCTGAGGGCACTTTCAGAGATTTCTGGGTTGACAAATTGTATGTTGTCCCAAAGAGCTTTGAGGGAACTGTCTTTTGAACACTTGATAACTCCCAGCTTTCCATGGAATTTCACCCAAGCACCTTTGTTTTTGAGACCTTGAATGTCTTCCTGGATGCACAATCACTTTGTATTGTGATGGCAGTCCTGAATGTTTATTCTGCAGAGACAAACATGTTTTTCTATTTCATTAAATTTAACCATGACTGATGTGCCCATTGCAAACTGGACATTAACAAAACATTTCAGTTCAATCCATCCACAAGTTTTGAATGCTTTCAATTAGAAATTTTTTATTTTTTTTATTTTTGAAAGAATATACTTAAGATGAAAATATAATTTTTTCTTCAATTTTGTGAGCAACTGTTTTAAAAGTTTAGATGTGTATAAACAACAATAGCTACTATTTTGATGGTGATAGTAACTTAAAATATCTACAATCCAGAAATCCACAAAGAAAGCCATAACTGTATTTTTTTAAATACAAAAGGAGTCAAGAGTATTTCTTTTAAATACAAAGGAAGTCAAGTGTATTTTTTTAAATGTGAGTTAACAAGTAAAAGATAACAATGAAGAAAAAACAAGCTCAATTACCTTCATTCCCATCTTTCTGACCATTTTCCATTTGTCCAGAGGAATGTCCAGGGAAATTTAGTGTATTGGGCCCTTGAAAATGCCCATCTGTTAATCCACATCCAAGATCAATTAGCTCAGGTGAACCATTCAACAGCTGAAAATATTTAATTTTGTAATTTTCATATTACCTATTGAATACAAACAAAGTTAGTTAACTTTGCTTGGCTTATAAAAACAGTTTTGAGAGGGAAAAAAAAAGATGATTGTCAATAGGTGGGTACAGATTACTACAACATAATTTGTGTTACTCTATTGCACATCACAAATCACTCAGCTTCCAACTCAACCAAGCAGGTATCATAAGACATGACTGATTTAATTTTCTGTGTAAAGATTGTATAGCACTAATCTTGAAAGAGAGGGCCAATCTGTGTAGGAAAACAGTATTTTGAAATGCTTTTTTTATATCTGGATTCAGGCACTAATTACTGTGCAGTAAATAAAAATGATACTATTTCAGTCAGCAGGCAATCCCCTTGCTCTCAAATACCCAAACTTACTAACTATGGCTTGTCAGATTAGGGTTTTTAATTATAGCAACATAAACAGTAACTTGAACAGCTGACATAAATTGTTCTTTTTCAGGAACCTCGACATGTTGTAATAGTAAGCTTGTCTCACTAGAACAATTGCAAATGAGTAGTGATTTCGATCCTCATTGGGTGCCCCGTACTTTCAGCTTTGTGCCACATCTAATCTGCACTTAAAAACTCCCCATATAGTGTTCTTTTTACTCCTATGTTTGGATACATATTGAAAATTGCATAAAATGGTTGCTTCCATGTAGCAACATGATTCCAAATTAGTGATCTGTCATTGATAGATTATCACATATCTAAACCAAGCATAAATTTATGAATATAGAATATTGGTAAAAAGTTTGAAAGGAGGTGGGGCAGGGATAATTGAATTTTGTTCAAATGATGATTCAGTCTTTGACAGCCTGAGCAATAAGACAAGTGCAATTGATAGCAATACATTATAGTATATTTTACTTTCTTTAAAGATTTTATTTTGTTCACTTGTCATGTAGAGAAACAAAAGCAGATATTCATGAGTAAAAATGTCTCTATTCTGTAGCCTGAGTATAAGTCTACCTGAATCTTTATAGAAGGGGTTGACTTGTGTAGATAGGTCACAAACTGAATTTAAATTTGAATTACATTAAAATTAATAAATTTAGAAATATGAAGGGCTATTGAAAAGTTCTCAGTGTGTTTTAAAACCCAAAATTGGCATTTCAATGAATAAATATCAGAACATTGATTTTGTGAAGTGGGTTTAGCCTCAAATGAAAAATTCAACCTGGAAAATGCTTAAAGCAACAAGTAGCAGCTGAAAACATTAACATCATCTTTCTGGATAAATGTTGTAAACTATTAACCTTTTTTAGTTCTTTTTTGAGGCTGTCAGATGTACTCTGGGAAGAAAAAAGAGCTCTCTTGAAAAACTGCTCAATCACCCGTCTCTTTTTGTTAGGATGGAGAGGTGGCGGTAGCTGTGTAGAGGCAATAGAAATGAAGAAGTCATTTATTTTTATCAATAACATTCACAGAATATTGTAAATATTAACAAAATTCCCAACATTATCTTTTTTGTTAAATATTATTTATTGACATTCATTGTAGTTGCTGCCTTAAAAGACATGTATTAATAAAAAATGAGTCAAAATATTAAACTGTATTCAGTGTATTGGTATTATGGCTAGAAGGTCTATTATCAAAGGCATGAACTATGATAAAAATATAATCCAAAAAGAAAAATATATTAATATTATATTAACTAAATTTGTATAAATTATTTAAATTCTCCACTTTGTTGGTTTTTATGACATTATTTTGGTAACTCTATATGAAATAAACCACATTTCCAACACAATTACATATTCTATTAAAATATGCTCAATCTTTATTTTCTATCTAATAACAGACAATATTTACAGACATTGCCAAAAAGATTCCATGATACAAAATGTAAATCAAAGTGTCTATTGATTAGAAATTAACATCACTATGTGAAATATTTGACCAATCAGAGTAAACTAAAACCCTATTTTTCTTGAGACTACTTTCTGGAAAAAATTCTTATAAAAACCAACAGATTTTGACTTTTAGGAGCAGAGATGCAACTGTCTCAAAGCCATTCAAACACAAGAAATGATTTTGTTACATAGCTTCCCCCCCCACCAGCAACTTTAATCATTTACAACAAAAACAGCAAAGATGGTCAGTGAATCTTCACTGATGATCAAAGTATTTTCTCAATCACATATTTTTTACTGTGAACCAACTGCTAAAGGTATTTTCTAAACCACAGATTTTTCTGTGGAACAACTATCCAAAGAATTTAATTCAACTAAAGACTATTTTTACTCCATTTTAACTCTTTTGAATTCATGTAGATATGTTTGTAAATACAAATGATTCATTTATCACACATACCCAGGTTTTCTTTATTTTTCTTTATTATTGTTTGGAATTCAGACCTTCAAATTTTTTATATAACAAAACCTGAATGAGTGAATTTCCTACAACTCTGCTTTTGTGTCTTGATTGTTAACCAGTAAATGTTTTTTAATAGAAACACAGTCCACTGCACAGCTCCCTTTTATAAACAGATTCTGATATAGGATAACCAACCTAATATAAATTCATATATACAGTGGTAGATCTTGATACCAAATATTTTGTAAAAGTTTATAAAAATCTAAAACATTTACCAAGGATCTTATGAGTTTCAAGCAACAAATGCTTCAAGATGGCAGCACTTGTATAGTTACAAATGATGCACAGATGTAAAAATCCCCACATCCTTGACATTTCATTAACAGCATGACACCACATATAAAAAGGAAAACCTCAAAGGAAATTGTAAAATTGGTGGAAAATGTTATGAAGCAATTGAATGAATTCTAAACTGAGTGAAAATGGAATCAGATTAATCTCTTAATGAATAAAATAGGTAAGTTTTTAAAAAAATATTTATAAAATAAGATTCAGGTTATAATTTGTTGATGTGTTATATAGTAAGAGAATTTACATATTATTGTTAAAGATTAAGCAGGAGACAACACTTTTCAGGAAGAATATTAGAAAGAAGATAGTTTCTAATTGAAAGTGGTTTACTGGTTAATTGCAAAATGATGATGTATCTATCTGCATACTCACTATAGTCGAACATGGCACAAGAATATATTGAAAATCGGAATCACACGTGTACATGGGATTGGTAACAAAAATTGCTTAGTTCCCCAGTCAGCACTTCCTTATTGGGATGTCTCAGGTATCAGGGAGTGGCCCTTCTTTTAGTGCAATGGGATGGCTTTCTCTAGAGATGAGCATGTTGTTTTTATGAAATCAACACTATCAAACATTAGAACCATCTCCAAATCATCAAGTACAACTGACCAACCTCTATGCTGACTGAAATCAATCCAACCAGTACTGTCATCAGAATCAAATTGAATATTATAACAGTGTTTATATTGTGGGTTATCCCACTTGGCTTTGCCAAAATGCCTGCTAGGGTGCACTCTTGAAGTTTATAATAAGGCAATCATATTCTCTTTGTTCCTCTTTTTAACTCCTGCTTTTTTTTTTTTTTTTTATTAAGGATATTAATAAGATGAGGGTTGGAGTTTTTTTAATACTTATTACAAATATCATGACTGGCTTAGAAAGTTTATTCCTTTTTCTAGATCAAAATTCTTTATTTTCAATGAACTAATCAGTTTTTTAGCAACTGTGTCTCTGAATTGTTTCATTTCATAAGCAAGAAGGGACAGATTCTATTTCTTGGTCTTAATGATATGATTTCAAATTATGCCTTTTTTGATGTTCTTCAACAATGGAAGAAACTGTTTTTACCCCAGTTTTTGTGTTTAGGACTAAATGATTTAGATTATTTATAATACTTTTTTTTTTTTTATTTATGTTTTTTTAAAATATTTTATTACATTTTATTTTTAGTTATTTATTCTTGCTTTTATTTCAGTTTATTTTAATTAATTTATTTATGAGTTTATTTTTTGTATACTCTTTATAGTTCTAAAGTTTGGCATTTATTTTTTAATTTTAGGTTAGGGTCTATTAGTTGTTTAGTCTTTGAAATCACAAGAAAAAAAAAACAAAGAAATGAATGCTATAATATCAATCCTCCTGCTGGATCATCTCTGCACAGATGAAGAAAAAACTTGAGGCAACAAAAATGAGGTTCTACATAAGGATACTGAGAATACCATGGATTGCAGATTGAGAAACGTCAAAGTTTTAAAGAAAATAGAAACAAAATGGACCCTTAAAGAAACAGTTCAAATTTTTAGGGAACATAATGAGGAAAGAGGGTTTGGAAAATTTGACACTCACAAGATATACTGAAGGCAAGAGGGACAGGGCAAAACAGTATATAACCTACCTAATAAGCTTGTGTAAATGGAGGACAGAACAAGATTTAGGATAGATAAGAAGAAGACAAAATTTATTAAGAGCTACAAAAGACAGGAAATTGTGGAGAGACATGATTGTCAATGTCCTGATTGGACATGGCACATAGAAGAAGTCTGTCACAAGGCCAAATAGAGGAAAACAGAGTTACATGAAGCTTTCAAGTGGGAATGGCCCTCTTGCCTTGAAAATCAGCATCATATAAACTGTCCCTTCCTTGTCTGAGATCAGCCATTGCTATCAGTGGGGAAATAAACAACTTCATCAGCCATAAGAGATGAAACTGATAAATATTTTCTTCTTGAAACAATCAAGACAAATGATATGACAAGGAGTCTTATTTTTTTATACCCACAAACGTCAAGGATGAACAATTGACAAGAAACAGAGCAAAACCATGGCTACTTGGATAAGAGAGATGAAACCACATACCTGGGTTATGTAGATAATCTTGTGCAAGGGATGCAGCAACTGGAGAATAGGGTCACTGACCTGGCGGACACGGCAGTGAGAAATGGTAACTGTGGCAGGAGAAGCTGCTGCTGCTGCTGTTGCAGCATGAGCACTGCCTGAAACAAAAGATGGTTACTTACATTTAAAAAAAATCAATTTACCTCAAGCAAGGTGATAATGCCACTAAGATGCAGTAGGGGTGAAAGAGGACTTTAGAAGGAATCCAATCCTAAACAAGAAACCTGGAATAAACCTCTACTCCTGTTCAAAAGACTGATTCATTTATATATATATATATATATATATATATATATATATATATATATATATATATGTCAGGGGGGGCAATATCATCCCGAAATAATAATAATGATAATAAAGGAGAATTTGCTGGAAAACAGGAAAAAAAAGGTGTTTTCAAAAAGAACCAAGATGTTAAAAATGCTGTAAAAACTTTGAAATGTAAATGTTACAGATTTTATTTAGAAAATGAAATGCAATCTTTTTTTCCCCTTTAAGCCTACATCACTTTATTAATAGAAAATAGAATTCAGAATGACTTCATGTAAAGGTTAATTTTATTGATAACAAGACAACATGAATCTATGTAAGTTTATCAAAATTGCTCAGAGCTATTAATAGACAAACTTAGAACAATGACAGTGGTCAGGGTACTGAAAGATGAAATGAGTGTGAAGTTTTTAATTTAGAAGTGTGTCAGGAAATGGGTTGACCTGTTCCTAATAAAAGTATGTCAGTATGTTGGCACTAGAAAAACAAATACATCACCAGTTCTCTATATAAAGGGCAGAGCAGAGTTGGGTTAGAGACAGTGCAGAAGTGACATCAGAGATTGGAACAAAGCGCCCGCTAACATGTGCTGTTGATATAAGTACCGCTAATCCTGCTACCACTAATATTACTACTATTGAGGACAAGAACATCAATGATTGTAGTAGTTGCACTAAGAACAGACCAAAAAGGATTAAAACGAAGCTACCTCTCTCCTTTAACGAAATTACATGAAGTATTTTCTTTTGTTTTGTTGATCATTGTTCATATACAAGAGACATTCAACTTTTTGCCACGAGAATTGTATTATTATATGTATTGTTGATGTTATATATATATAAAAAAAAATCGGATCAACTAGGCCATATTTATTTGCTGTTAACCCAATTCTCACCTAACAAGCTTGCAGGTAGACCAATGGAGAGCTTTCAGAATTCTATGACCTGATAGCTACTCCCCAGGATCAAAAATCACAACGTGGCTGGTGATTGGAATCGAATCAACATTTGAAACCGGAGAATTAGGTCTAACCTGTAATACTGGACCATACAGGACCAATGGCCAGTCTTGTGAATGACATCAGCCCAGTGGGGTTATGATATGGTGTCACATGGACGCCTTGACCAGAGATTGTGTTAAAACTGACACCATGTGAGAGGATCAGCGTTTATATATATATATATATATATATATATTTATGAAAAATATAGAATCTAACTTGAAATCAATATGTTTCATTTTATAAGAGCCCAATAAAACATGAATTTTACTTAGGCCTCTCTTATTGTGGTATTGCTGGGATAAAATCTCAAATAAATTTTATAACTTTATTAGAGTGTTTTTTTTTTCTGCTTCTGTCCAGCCTAATATGCTGTTCTGTCCCTGTCACCATCTGCTGTGTCTCTTCAAGCACCAGTTTCTGTCATTTGTTGCTCTCGGTAATATTTTCTCTTTTATGGAAACTTAGCAGGAAGGTTATTTGCTGCTTTTCCTTGCATTTGATTTGTCCTGTGAGTATTAAATTTTCAAAGTCTTCTTTTCAGCACTAATTTGGATAATTTTATTCTTGGCTTGAGAAAAAATTGTTTTCTGTATTTTGCCTTATTTTTTCTTGAAATTTCTAAGAATTCTTAACTCCCACACAAAAACTGAAACCATACGCAAAAAAAAAAAATGTAAAAAAGAACAAAAGAATTTGTAACTTACCAGTGCGCCTTCCTCGTTGGTTGCCACAAGCAACATGGTTGGAAACTGGGGAACCACTGGAGGGATAGAAGTTGTTGGAATTCCTGGAATCATCAAGTTTCAATATGCCAAGATGAGTTGCTTCAGAAGGAGAGCTATGATTAGCCTGGGCTGGACTCCCAGGAGATGGAGAACCAGACTCTTCAATTGATTTCACTGCTTAAAAAAAAAAAAAAAAGAAGAGTAATGTTTCTAATATGGATTCAGTTTTGTATATACACACATATCAATGATGATTTTAATATCTATTTAGAAGATGAAGATTTGAACTTGGAATTTGCCCAGGGTTTACTAGTAAGGCTGAGTAATACCCATCCCATTATCCTTTTGATGGATGAATGGATTTGTAGCTGTGGCTTAGGCCAAAAACTGGGAAGAAGATCATTCAGAGATGAAGAATACTGTTATGACAATTATTGTTACTGTCCCAACATCGCTGAATGTAGAAATGAGGAATTTTTTTAAGCGTGTTGTCATTAATAAAAAATGGTTTTCATAAATTCAGGGCCACAAGTCAGCTAAGACCAGATTATCTAGTTTTCCAAGCATGTTATACCAATCAGTGGAGCAAAGCTGATTCTTCAAGAACTGGTGCAAATTGAACTTATACAAATACAGGAAAGGTGTCTCTATCATGTTTTGAAAAATAAAATCAAACTCTTTCATCTTCCAAAGAAATTTGTAGAAGAGAAGTTAAATATGGAAATGAAAATACTAGATTCATCAACTGATGTTTTATTCTAACAAAAAACATTCTCACATTTGAATACGAAGTGTTAGCAAATCCTTCTTGTGTAAATATCTCTTTTAGCCCAGCTAATAGGCAATTAATGCAACACAGACAAAAACCATGGCACAATATACTACAGCATAAATTGAGTCTCTTGATCAATTTGCAGGTTTTTTAACCTTATTTTTTTACCCTACAACTCCAACTGTTCCAACAGGGCTAGACTTGATGAATTACTTAATTATAATTATCTCAAATCCTTATAATTTCTATCACTTGTATATCTTTGCTTGAACCAGCTTCTAATGCTCTGGACTGAGCAGCTTAGGGATAGTAGTTGTAGCTCATGGGGGCACAGTCCTATGGTTAAAGAGAAACTCGGATGAGTTCCACCATGGAATATGTGATTGAGTGGCGCTATATCGAGTCTGATTCACTACCTCATCGTCACTGAGGCCTGTTGGAACAGCTGATATGACATTTGCCTGATAATGTGACTGTCCAGTGCTTTCGGCATTCTGTTGAGGTTTCTTCTAGACTCGATGAATTACTTAATTATAATATATGATATTCACATAAAAACCAACCTAAATGATGTAGATTTTCTAGATGACCCCTTCAACCTAAGAAAAAGTACATATAAATCATACAGAAAACCCAATGATAAACCACTGTATATGCACACATTTTCCAACCTTCCACTATCAATAATCAAGCAGATAACACAATCAATTAACTGCAGGTTTTCTGACAATTCTTCCAGTGAAATCAATGGAATCAAGAAAGACTATAGAAACAGCCCTAAATGATAGTGGATTCCCAGTAACACTTATGTACACACCACACAGCACAAAAAAGCCAACAGGAAGAGAAACATATGGTTCAACCCAACTTCCAACAAAAATGTAAAAATAAACATAGGAAAAATATTCATTAAACTCATACATCAACACTTCTCAACCCCATCAAGCACTCTCCTCAAGATATTCAACAAAAACATAGTAAAAATCAGCTACAGTTGCAATGTGAATATAACACAAATAATAAAAAAAAGCACAACATGAAAATAATCAACAAACCACCTGGACAAATTAAACCCACCAGTAGCTACAGAACAAAGAATGAATTTCCCTTAAATGGCAATTGGTTGCAGAACAATGTAATATACCAAGCCAATGTAAAATCAGCAAATAACAAGAAAAATTATGCATAAGAGTAACTGAAGATCTCTGGAAACAAAAAAACTATGCACACAAAACATCCTTTACAAATAGTAAATATACAAACAGCACAGTGCTTTCTAAACATATCTGGAAGATTAAAAACAATAACCAAATCGCACCAAAAATAACATGAAAAATAAGGAAATCAGCATCAGCCTACAATAATAAATCCAAAAACTGTAAACTTTGTCTGGAGGGAAAAAAATAGCTATAATTACCTTCCCAGACCAAAACAAACTACTAAATAAATGATCAGAACTTATCTCAAAATGCAGACATGAAAACAAATTTTTACTACTTTACTTAAAAACCAAAACCTGTAAACAAACAAGAATTAAATGAAAATTAATAAATAAAAAATAAAATAAATAAGTAAATAAACTAAGTAAATAATAAACAAATTAATAAACCACATACATACAGATAAACACAAGAAAACATAGTAATAAAAACCAACAATAAAATAATCAATAATAAATAAAAAACGTTAACTAACAACACTATAAATAGCCCCCAAACTGCATTTGGATCCACAATGATTCCCACTCAATAGCCCTGAGAATTATTCAAAACACAACTGATACCTCCCACCAAAATGACCATGATGCAATACAATAGACTATCCACTATGCATCACTCACCTGTATATATAAACAGTCAAGTAAAAACACAACCCACATAGCCTGATGATTGTGTTTAGCATGAAACATACTGTCGCCTCTGGGTGTTGGCTTCAATGTCTGCTTTTATATTTACATATGCTATATTGAGCACTTTAACCCCAAAATATGGGTTTTTCATCAATTTTAATTTCATATATTTTATTAATCTTATATTGCTCTGTCATTTAATTTATATTAGATTTAATATTGATAGCAATTTTCCTGGTTCGTGAAATTTTTTGAGTCAGATGGCTGGTCCATACTACTCTTATTGTTACTATTTATTGATTATATATATTTATATATCTTTTCTCCTCCTTTCTGCTATTAGAAGTTTTATTAAAACAGCTCAATTTTGTAAAGGTATAGTCAGTGGATTATGATGAGATGAAGCAGAATAGTTTACAATGAGTTTTGAACCCAGAGAATGAAAGCAGTCGTTGGTTGTAAAGGATGTGTAACCAAGCATTAATCATTTTCTTTTTCAATGTATTGGAGATTTTTTGCTCTTCTTATTTAGAATTTTGACCCCAATTTTCCAGTGGTCAATCTTATGTCAATTTAAAAACAAATTTTCCATCTGTTGCCTTAATATTTATTTTTATTCCAAATTTCATTAATTTTGAAGTTGTACAGGCACATTTAAATAAACTTTTTGCAATGTATCAAATAATTTTTACATTTGCTCTGTAAACTTAAGAGAGATGAAAGTTTTCACATAAACATTTATTAAATCCTACCTGTGATAACGTGTTACATAAACAGGTAATCTTATATAATTTAGAAAACAACAAACAGAACATGAGAAAAAACTGTGGATATAAAAATTCTTCATCTGAGGAAAATATGTCTCAAACATGGACATAAGTCAAACTGTTCACAATTTTGAAAGCAGAGAAGAAAAGAATGCTGAGTTCTCAAATAGCTACCAACACCAAAAGTAAAAGAATTTTTCAGGAAGACAAGAGTAAACTTTTACTATTATAGAATATTTACAGTAGACAGGCTTTTTTTCTAAAATAATTCTGATATGAAAATATGTTGCTTTTTTCATAAGAATCATGGAGAGTATAATGTATGTGGACCAGAAAGCACAGTTGATGTGAAGAAAGAAAGTAAATGAAAAATGGTTGTTCATTTTGCAAAGAGTAACACCAAAATAGCAAGAAATGTGAAACCTTGTCAAAACTGAACTTTTTCAATAAGATTTCTGAAAGAAAAAATTTCTGAGATACTGACAGTCAAAGAGATAATTTGGTTAAAGGCAGAATATAAAATTTTTGCAATTTGAAGTTATTTCCAAAGTGTAACATTGAAGATTAATGAGATGTCAGTAACAAAAAAAATGTGCAAAGAAAATAAATAATTAACATAAATCCAAAGAAATTTCTAAAGACAGAGTTTTACAAAGGCAAAATTAAATGTTCTTTGCAAATTAATATAAAAGCATCAAAACTGATTTCAAGATGCCATTGTTAATATCTCTATTCTAAAGTTAACACTAGAGGAAAATGGAAAATTCATGTGGGTGCAGAAGAAAAAAAAACCACACATGTAAGATGACAAAGTAATGCAAAGTCAAGTAATAAATTAATAAAAGTGTTGCATGTTTTACTAAATTGTTTCTAATTTTCACCTGTATTTGGAATAAGCAAGGAGAGTGGACTCAAAGGATCTTTCTGCTGCTGCTGCTGCTGCCGTTGACTTCTTTCTGTTTGACTCTGTGAGGTAGTTGAGTTTGGTGAATACCGTGGCAAGGAGCTTTGGCTGTGGACAGTGGCTCCATTAACATTTGGATGCCTGTGAGCAGGGAGGAGGCAATTGTCATTGGGTGAAGAGAAACTACTGTCAACCCTGGAATCATTAATGGATCTAGTGTTAGTTGTAGAGGATCTGGGTGCATCTGGGCTGCTCTCACTCAGCCAATCATTTTGACTTGCATTGGCACTACAGCAGGCTCCACCTTGAGGGCACAGATTCAAGCTACTGTTACAGCTACAACTCACACACAGATCTTCATCACAAGTCCAGGTACCTGAAATAAGTAAAAAAAATAAATAAATAATAGCAAGACATCTTTATAAAAGATCTTTATCTTTGTTTTTTTTAAGATAATGATATATAAATATTTGTATATCAAGAACAGTTTTGGAGGAAGGATGTACGACAAAATGAAAAAAGTTTTTGCGTGACACATTTTGTCCCTTAGGACTTCATTGGACTAGGCTTATTTACAATGATGCAACTAGACATGCGTATGAATGAAAGTTACTGGGAATTTTAAATATAGAAAAAAAAAAAATTTTTTTATGTCTTTTGGGTTGATAATGTAGCCAATTTCATTTAGATTCTTTTTCTTTCCATCATCTTTCTTATTAAATATTCCACATTTTATGATAAAGGATCTGCCAAGAATGGTGTAGTTGCTCACTGTAACAAGACTGACCACAATTTTGACATAAAAGATGTTTACTCTAATTAAAATAAAAATAATTCAATAAGACGAAAATGTTTAGAAAGGACTTTAATTGCTAGTTCATCCACAGTGTTATAAAATAAAATAAGACATATCTCAGCTGATTTGCAGGCAAATAAATTAACGTACTCAAGAGCGAGAGCCGGATGTGAGCGGGACAAGGCCCCATCACAAAATGACCATTATCGTCATTTACGCATATTCCCGACGCACGAGTTCCGGTCGAAAAATAAAATAATATTTTAAAATGTTTCTATTTTTCGACCAATAAAAATGCTTTCCTCCTAATTATACTCGCATCGTTTTACGAGCCTGTTAAGCCATAAAAAACACCATAAAAGGGGTCACACTGGGAAGTACAACAGCAGTCAACAGGAGGCTAGGGAAGAGACCTGTCACAGTCAGGCTGAGCGGCCAGCAGCAGTAGCATCACACCAACCAGCGAGAACTACTATGAGAGATCAACCCAGATCTTCAGCCGGCTTATGAACTATACCACAAGGTAGCTGTCCCAAAATCACACGTTCCTATTGAAATAAATCATGTAAATCTATTTCTACTGTTGTCTATTTCTTTCTTGCAACCATACACTTGTCTATAACAACAGTAAATTTGTGTCTTGGGTCTTGCAATGTTTTATCATTCTTGGTAGCTCAGAATAAATGCTACTCATACAATAGGCATCACACAATTACATCTTAAAAGACAACTGTTGAAAAAAAATCAACAATTACCAACAAACTCCTTGAAAATGGCTAAAGAAGTGACCCAAAGTGTTTGTGACAATAGACACTGCAGACAATTTTACATTTCCTTACCACCACCAAACAGAAAATTTTAAGAATAGTAGAAAAAGTAAAAACAATTCAAATTTTCCTTGTCTGTCATATTCAATGAAATATATTTGAAAGAAAGGTTACTGCCACAAAACAGATTATATATATATATATATATATATATATATATATATATATATATATATATATATATTGATAATATTAGTGGTTAATATACACATACATACGAAATCATATATCTAAACTATATAAATATATATACATACATACATACATATATATATATATGTATAAAAAAAATTATAAAATGTGTATGTATATAAATACATATATGCAATTTTTATATATATTATTTATATATTATATATGTGTGGTACTTATTGGAAAGTGCTCAATATCAGTGACAGAGCTAATATATTTAGTTGGATTGATGTGAGTTTGTGACCTTGGGTTTCACACTATTTGCGATTGTCAGACAAAACATTGACAAAATAGCATGAAACCTGGGGTCACAAACTCATATCAATCCATATATATATATATATATATATATATATATATATATATGTGTGTGTGTGTGTGTATATGAGAGAGAGAAAGAGGAAAAATAAGTTGAAAATGACACTAATGTACAATTGTTATTTATTTGCCAATATCATCATCATTATGACTATTATCATTTTCTTCTTGATGTCACATTATCCTTCACATTCTGACAAAGTAGGGAAAACTAAAACTATTTCCACACACACAAATTTAATCCTTGTAAATGTTTGGAAGAAAAATATAAAAACAGTTTAATGCTGACAAAGTTATAAAGATAACATTGACATGAAATGTTATGTTCAATGTGCTGAAACTAGTTTTACTTGTTTATTCCTTCACTTATTTCCTGAACTGCTGAATTTCTTCATGTGAAACTGATTGCACAGCATCTAGAATAGCATCCCAAAATTCATCTTTGCTGTTAAATTGCTGTCTGCCAATGTAAAGATTCCTCTTCAGAATGCACTACAAGTTTTCCGTCAGGTAAAGTTCAGATGAACAAGCTGGCCCCTTTGAAATTCATTTTAATCAGTTGTTCATTAGTTTCCTTTGTCAAATGTGATGGAGAGCAATTGACATGCATAAAACTAATCTTCTTTCTGAGATCTTCTGAGTTCTTCAACCATGTGCCTCCAAAATAATCAATATGTCCCAAACTATCCTTGTAATAAAAACTGAAATTTTCCATGGGTCTATTAATTGACCTCTAAACATCATATCACCTCAGTTTTGTTGATGTCTTGATCTGTGAGTGTGAGAATTCTGCCAGTGTTTACTTTGCCTTTTTCTTCATCTGTCTGGTCCATTTGTCAGTGAAAAGAATGGTTGAAAAATAAGTCTTTATGTATTGTGTTGACCATTTCATTTAAATATCTTTATGAATGTCTTTCAAAGGAGGCCTAGTCACACATACTTTGCCACTTGATTTTGGACTTGACATCTGGTACTTTTTGAAATTACCATAATGCTTAAAATTTTCAAAGTTTAACAAAGATAGACTTTTATTATTTTTTTATAAATAATTTAGATAAAATACTTCACATAAGCTTATCAGATTTATCTGTGATTTTTGGTAAACTTCTCAGTTTGTTGATATCTTCTGATCCTTTTGGCAATTTCCAGCATTGCAAACTCTGAAGTTATTAAACATTTTTATTTATTCATCAAATCAGCCTTATGATCAATTTGAAAGCTTCAAAAATGGCCCATTTGGTTATTAATTTAAATTCAGGACATTTCATACAAATAACTGCTGTTGGTTTTACATGTAAACAGAACAGACCAACTTTCATCTTAACTTACATTCCAATCTTATACATTAAGAAAACATGAAGTAGCTAATAATGTAAGATGCAGTGTATATATGTATAAGCACATTTTATATATTAAGTGTATATCTCAATCAATAAAACCCACCAGGAAAGTATCTGTCAAGATTGTTTTGAAACCTCTCAAATAACTTTTATATTCAAATTTCTGTTATAAAAACTTGTCAATAATATCTTAATCTATAAATGTGGCTGATATTCAAAAGTAGGTGTCATCAGCTTGTGCTAAACTAAGCAAAGTTAAGTAAATCCAAAAATATTCAAATGTGAATTTTGTACTTTTAAAAAGACTTACCTTGGTCATCAATTTCAGGAATAGCATCAGTAGCAGTGACAGCTGTAGATTCTGATTGGCACAATTGCCTTTCCTTTCTGCACACAGAATTACAGTCACAATTAATGGAATCAGTAAAGTCATCTTCCTGCAAGAAAAATATCAGATAATATATAAAAGACATTTTTCTTTGAATTTTCATATATATTTAAAAACCCAAATTTTATTTTTTTTGCTATATAAAAAGTTGTCAATTTCTCTTCAAAGAAATGTTTTAAAAATGTTTTTATTATTTGCATTTGTGAAATCAAGAGTAAATTTCAGTTTTGAGGATGACTTTGCAACTTTTGTTCAACTTTATTCGGTTTAATTTCTTTTTTTGGACAAAGAATTCTTACAATTAATTCTAATTACCTTAACACTTGAATTGGCACTGGAATTGACCTGATGATCAAAATGTTCTTGAGAAGCAAGAAACAATTTTTGGTAATTTTGTTGGTTACTGACTGCCTCAAAAACATATCTGAAAAAACAAGAAAAACAAAATGAATCAGTTCTCTTGTTTAGTACTGTTTATTATAAACAGAGCATTTACTTAAATATTTGTATCTATAAAAAGAATGTATAAACATAAAAATATCGTAAAATAATTGTCGGACTTTGTCCATTTCATAATATATATATCTTATATATTTATATATATATAAAAGAAAGATTGTGTCTGTATGTATGTATGTATGTTTGTTTGTACAATGGCTGAGCACATGTCTTTTCATAAAGAAACATTGGTGGAGAACAGTAAATACTAAACTTCAATAAAATCCGCACATTGTTTTTGTCCATGAGAGGTTTAAAATATTAATTTAAAAAATGATCAAAAAATGAAACAAATTAATAATGAATAAAGCATAATAAAAACCAAATAAAACAAAAATAAAAGAAAAAATATAAACAGGAATAATTATAAAACAACCTAAAATCGAACGACTAGTTACCAAAAATCAGCTCTGAATTTTCAAATACAAAACCCAATAAAACTAGGACATTATTGAATGAGAAAACTTTTAATTGCTTTTATGAATAATATATGTTAAGGATAATATTGTATGAAGCAAATAAAATTTTCTGATGAAAAATGAATTTTTACAAGAATTCTTTTTTTTTTTTACAATTTTAATTATAATCATTTATAAAGTTGTTAAATCTTTTAAAATTCATTTTCAATGTACTGTTATTAAGTAAAACTACTTTTTACTAATCATAAATCTAAAAGCTTATTACAGTCTGAAAATATGTATTGAAAAAATAATTTTACATTGTTTCTGGATATGTATAAACATGCCTTTTTTTATATATATGGATGTTCATACATGACATTATCATTAAAATGTCACATGCTTTAAGAGTTGTTAAAAATTTCTTAACTGAGATAATATAAAAATTAATAATAAATAAAATACCATAAAATTTCATAAGAGATATACATAAAAATTATAGGTACCTCTCTTATTTATGAAATTTTATGTTATATTAATTTTTATATTATCTTAATTATGAAATTTAAAATTTATTTTATTGTTATACAGTATTTTAAATTTTAGTATTATTTTTCCAGAAATCATCTTCAAACGTAAGGCTATAAAGCTAAAGTACCTAATAATTAATGAAATATTAGATTGTAAAAATTACTGAGTATTTAAATAAGGTCACTTAAAATATGTAAAATTTATCACTTCTGTTCATCCAACTGATGATTTTTTACATCAGCTGTCAGTACCATCACTGTAGTTAAGGAATGCTTTTCTTATTTTCTACTGTTTTTCTCCTGTTTGTTTCAAATTAGATTAAGTAAATTTTAAATTTTCTAATTTTACTCAAATAACCTTTGAAAAATGTATATTTTATTTTTAAAAGATTTTTAAAAATGGAGAATTTAACTTTTGTTTATACACCAAAGAAAGTATTCTGCTTACTGGGTACAGTAAATTTATTCCTTTACCTTTGAATAAAAAGAAAGCTTCAAGAACAATTTTTCATTTTTTAAATTAATTTTAAATTGTAGGTATGTCATTTTTTGGCAAATTAGTGGAAATTTCTATAAGAGTATAATATACTCTTGAACAAAAGACTTAATAAAGGCTATTTATTCATAAAATTGGATAACGAGTAAGTTTTGCTATGTTTAATAACAAAGCACAAAGCCAGACTATCAGTTACTGGACTACAGTTAGAAGAATCCTGTTTCTCTCATGTTGGTTATTCATGTGTGGAAAGTAAAACTAATTTGTTTATGTTCCACAAGGAAAGACAAAGAATATTCTCTACAAAGAAGTATTGTAATGTAAAAACTGTTTAAAGGTATTTCTGTGTTTGAATAAATAAATTTGAAGTTATATTTCTAACTTTTTAAATCCTGGGCTATGCCAGGTAGCTTTGCTAGTAGTAAATAAATTAAGATGGGTATAATGACAAAAGACAGTAAGGATAAGAAGAGAAGTATATAATAAAAAGTGGGCAGAAATTCTTATTAACCAGGTTTAAGAGAGCTAATTAATATTTTATTATTTTGAAATATTCAACCAATGAAAATTTTGAAATACAAGTGTCCAATCAGCATACAACTTTTGGAAATATTATGACACAAACATAATTCAAGATTGATCCTAAAATGAATACAGTCCATTCTAACACAAAATATGATTTCTGATAGTAAAGATTATGAATTAAGAACATTATGAAGAGAAAGTGCTAGTTTTTCAGATCTGTTTTCAATTAAATCTTTTCTTCTTCCTGTCAGTTGCCTTTGCACAAGGAGTTTTTATTCAATTCATCCCAAGTTTAATTTTGTCATTCACTTAGGCAATATCAACATAAATGTTGGAAATCAAAAAAACAAACTTTGGGTTTGGAAAGTTAGAGAAAGGTGTGAATTAGAGAAATTTATTGGGATGAAGATTTTTTTTATCAGTTCTCTCTCAATACCAAACATCTTTAACCAAGACAAAATTAAATGAAATTTATACAAGCCATTAATAAGCCTTGAAAATGCTCCAACCAAAAGAATACAATAAAATGATTAAATATTTGAGCATTTTTGCAGTGAAAGAGTGTAAGTATTTTGCAAGTAATTTTTTAGCTAACCATTTGAGAATTTAAAGTTTTATGAGTAAGAAATTGTTCTTTTATTTTTTTAAAATCTAAATTACAGGAAAGTTTTCAATGACTTATAACTTTGCTAAAACCACAATAAAAGGAGAAGTAAGATAATCACTTACTTTTGAGTTCTTCTTCGTTCTTTTTCTAGTTTTTTCTTTAATCCGTTTTCCCTGGCCTGAAGGAGGTCAATATGGAGAAGCATTTTGTCTGTTACTTGGGCACTTAATTCCAACACATCAGGCCGATCTTCAGCCTTAACTGACAGACAACTGAGAAGAAAAATTAGAGAAAATATTTAAGATCAATGTTCTAAAATGGCAATGAATGGCATTCTGTAAATCACTGGAAATTTTGTTAATTTTCATTTCATCTTAAAACATCTTTGAATGTGTTTTCTCTTTTTTTGACTTTCATATTGGATGCATTTTTTAATTTGTTTCTTGTTTGTCTTGGATTGATTCAATTCTTAGTCTTTATATGTAGTTTTTCTATTTTCAGTGGGCAGAGGAATTCCAAATTTAAATCCAAATATTCTCTGAAGTTTTAAGATGACTTTTAATAACTAATATGATTGAGTTTAAAGATATCTTTAAATATTCACTTGTAGAATGTTAGCAAGAATAAATTGAAGATGAAGAAATAACTTATTGGAAAAGACAAAAATGATTTGTCATTTCTAGGATGAATATCCTCTACTTCTCAACTGGAAGAATGATTATGAGCTTTCATTTGATATGTGTGTGTATGTAAATCTGGGAGATAAGTGTTAAGAAATAGAGAGTACCTTGAAATTATCCCTAATAACTGAGTTGAATAAAGACCCTCAGCAACAGGTTTGTAGTCAGCCTCAACAATCTGGAGAAATAAAAGAGAAAAAAAAAATAACAGTTAAAATTTAAACCATGAATGAAAAGTATAGCTCTATTTTCATCTTTATTCAAAACACTTTCATTCAGGATATTAGGGTAATGGCCAGAGGAATTATAAAACAAATTAGAAGTGTGTGCAGCACATAAAAGAGAAAAAAAATAATGCTACACATGCAAACAGATTTCCTAGTAAGAGAGAGAGTTTTAACAAAACCTGATTAATAAAAGTACATGAAAGCAAATTTGCTGTTATCTTAACTTACCTTCTTTGCGAGGGTTAGCATGTTTGAAGAGTAAAATGGTGGCACCAAAGTACACATTTCATAAACAATACATCCAAGAGCCCACAAATCAGTCTTTTCTCCATAGGGTTCATTCTTTATTATTTCAGGACTATGACACACAATGATAGCAGATTAGGAAAAAAATAGTAGAAATATCAGTAGACATTAAATATATTATTAGAAGTAAATGAAACATTGTCAATTATGATTAAGTTTTGGTGAGTATTTTTTCATCTTAGTTTCACTATCTTTATTAATAATAATTAAAAATCAATATAAATTAACCTGGAAGGTCACTGTTGACAAAAGAAAAAAAAAAGGGATGAGAAGAGGCAAATCTTTCAGGAAAATAAATTATATTCTTAAAATTTTAAACAAAATATTGATAAAAGCAATGACAACATTTATAAAAAAATATCTTTTATTAAAACATAAATATTAATTTAAGTTGACCAGTGAAAATGCCTTAAATAATTAAATTAATTTATATTAGATGTGCAAAAATACTAAATATTAAATAACAGATTTTATTAATATAATTAAAATTATTAATTAAAAGCAAAAATTATTTAATGCCTCTTTCAAACTTGTAAAAACATGCCAATTTGTAATCTGGGTAATTAATAATTATTAAAGTTGTTTAAAAGAATATAAATTTTGTAAAACTTTTTATTATTTTCAAATGCAGCTATGATGTCCTTTAATACACTTGTATTATGTATGTGTGTCTGTGTGTAAAATTTCATGCAAATGCAATTGCCTAGTATTATATGATCCATAATAATAATAATAAAGTATTTCAAGATAAACATGTGTAAGAAACTACTTACCAGGAATATAGGATTGTCCCCACCATAGACATCATTCCATTTTGATTACCTTTATTTCGCTTGGCTAAACCAAAGTCCGCTATAAAAAATAAAGAAAAATGAGAAACTGGAGATGGAAATTATCAAATAAAATGTAAAATAAATTCACAAAAGTAAGAGAAAGTCAAAATTAAATCTTTAAATTCACTATTGAAAGAAAAAAATATTTGGAATTCTGGCAAAGTCATAATGTTAACATCACACAATTATTTATACACTTCTACTTTATCAATGCCTGATTTTTTCTTAAAAATGTTTGTCTCTTCATTCTGACACAACAAATCTTTTTTGAAGCTCTACTCTTAAAGTCAAACATGCTTGTTTCCTTTCACTATAGAAAAGAAATTTTGCTTCATTGCCGTAACATAGCTTCTTCTGTCTTTTCTATAAATATTTTCATGTTAATTGTTCTGATAAACTTTTCTCTTTGGTACCTAGACTATATAAATTTAAGCACAGTACAAGATTAGCAGCAAAATCTCATCATTTTGCAGTTGAAATGACAGTTAGATGCAACCATAAATTCTATGCTAATTGTTTCTTCTGTCACACTTCCTGCTTGCTGAACTGTCTTTGGACTTCTTGCTTTCCAGTCAAGTTTGTGTAACAAATGAATGAGTGAACATTTGACGAGGCAAACATCATGGCAGTGGACACAAAAATGGCAGGGAGGCCTATATTCATTTGCATAAGCGTATGCCTCATGGGCATAAAAGCTAAGAGTTTGCGAGGGTAAGGGAAAAAAGGTGTCAAGTTGTGTGAAAGACACACATGTTGTTCGTTTCGGTGTTGTCTGTGGCGTAAAAATGAGCAGAAGAAGATGGAGAAGTCATGCATTTAAAGACAGATTCAGTAAGCATGTATCACTGGCTAGTAGATACACTCACTGGAAAGACCTGAATACGTATGAAGGCCACTAGCGAGATGTTGCTCTAACGACAATTGGAAACAATAAAGTTGCTGGTAGAAGAATATGGGTTGTCCATAGACATTACTCTGATCTCATCAAGCCAGAACTTAGCAGACCCCATGACCCGGGTACCGCAAATGTGGCTCGAGAGGATGAAATCCGCGATTGAACCTGTACTTAGGCATGTGTCGCGAGGAGTGATGAGATGACAAATAGTCAGATTATGGAAATACATAAAGGTAGTGGACACCCAGGCATCCAACGTACTGCATATTTCGCCCGGAGTGTTTGTCCAGCAATTACCAAAGTAGATGTGAGGTCGGCTATGAGGGGATGTGAAGAGTGTTAGACAATCGATCCGGCCCTGATTCATTAGACAAAAGGAGGATTAGCAGTAAAAGCTAATTGGCAAAGACTGGGGATGGATATAACCCACTACAACGGCAAACACTTCCTGACGATCAATGATTGCGGTCCAACACATTTTACCATCTGGCGGCTGTTGTCGCGGCAGGACTCCAGAAACATTATTTGACAAGTCTATGTTCTTTGAGCGCAGTCCGCCACAGGAATTGTTGACGGACAACGACACTGCGTTCTCCAGCAGTGAGTTCAAGGAGTTTGCAGCCAGCTGGGGAGCGCGCCTGTGATCTCGGTGTGCCTATGTGCTAGCAGGCAACGGCATCGCAGAATGATGCCACTGCAGTGTTAAATGGATTGCAGCCAGAATGGGGTGCACCTGCCAATGGAATCTACAGATATGAGGTCAGGATAAGGAATATCGACCCAGTACCAACATCACCGGCCCCCACACAAAACAGATACTGTTTGGGAGACTCTGTGTGGGTCAAAACGCCCCATTATCGATGCACTTCCAGATTCAAAGAAGGAACAGTGACAGAGGGGATCAGCCTGCAATACGTTGTTGTCGACGACGTCCCACACTATATAAAGGACGTATGACCCCAGACAAATGTCATCCCGCCTGGTTGAGTTGAATGATGAGACTTCCAACGACACTGGGTATATAACACTGCCTAGCCAACAAACAGCACAAAATAGAGAAACCACAGAACCACCCTTGCAATGAAGCACACGCCGGAGATTACTGACGTGACCTTGCCCGTGCTGTGATCATCAAGGATCAGGGGGGAGTGTAACAAATGAAGGAGTGAACGTTTGACGAGGCAAACGTCATGGTTGCGGACACAAAAATGGCAGTGCGTGTGCGCAACCAGTATTCATTTGCATAAGCGTATGCCTCACAGGAATAAAAGCTGAGAGTTTGCGAGGGTAAGGAAAAAAAAAGGTGTCGAGTTGTGCAAAAGTCACCTGTGTTGTTCGTTTCAGTGATAACTGCAGTGTAAGACTGAGCAGAAGAAGACAGAGAAGACAAAGACTTCAGTAATTTTTGCTACAGACCAATTACAGTTTGATAATCAAAAATTTAAATGCAATATCAATTGTTATCTACTGTCTTCTTCATTCCTCTCCTTTTATTGTTTTCTCTCCTGAATAATCTTTTCTTTTTCTCATATTCTCTCACACTGAGTAATCCTTTGTCTTAGTGGCTTTATTGCCTTACTTGAGGTGAAATGATTAAAAAAAAAAAAAGAATTTAATCTATAAGATTACTAAGGTATCTTTCCCCTTGTTATGAATGGAAACAAAATTATTTCTTTCTTATAATAATAATAATAATAAGAATATGACAACAGAATTCTATTAACTTTGCACCAATAACAGACACTGCACTACTTTATTACCGAATAATAATTTGTTTGTGATTAAAAAAACATTAATTATTCCATTTAGTGGTGATCAAGGCCAAGCCAAAGCTTTTAACAATGTAGAAATACACTTGTTATGGACAAGAGTTTAAAAAGAAAAGCAGAAAAAAATGAATTGGTTTCATTTGCCTTTTTATGTAGGTGTCAAAATTTAATGAAATTTAATAGACATATAAAAGGAGAAAGAGAGCCAATCATTTGCTAATTTGCTACCAGGGCAACTCTCCACTTCAAAATCACATTTGTCAGTTTCAAATAGTTTTTTTTTTAAATTCACTAATCTGTACCAATATGGAAAGATGTTTTCGTGGGTTTAAAATCTCAATTTTGAAAATTTGAAATTTAAAAATAAATTGCATAAAGTTTTCTTAAATGAGAATTCAAATCTGATTGTCAAAATAAACTTACTGATAGTAACTCTGTCACATTCGTCTAACATGACATTATTTGGTGTTAAGTCTCGATGTACAATGCCTTTCTCCTTGTGTAAGTACCGCAGAGCTTGCAACATCTGAAAAATAGTGGTTTTGAAAAAAAAAAATAAATAAATGAAAAGACAGGCAACAAAATGTAAAAAGAAACACATTATTTTATTTTGTAAACTAAATGATTTCTATAACAGGAAAAAATGACTCATTACTTAACTCATGTGAAGAATAAACATGTAGGTATCAGTTTCTTATCTATGGCCATAAAAGAGCAGATATAACCACACACACATTAACAAAGCAATAAAAACAACTATTATGTAAGTCTATCAGAAAATTCTTATTCTTTAATATATAAACTTTGAATTGTAATTGTGTTGATTTCAATCTGTTTAGGAATGACTGCAAAATACTTGTCACTTTTTATAGACAGATGTACACAAATGCATGCTGTGATTTCTTCCGAGTCAATAAAACAGGCTGGTTTCATATGACTCCTCCTCGGTCAGTTTTGTTTTGAAGTCAGAATGTGACGTTTGCTTATCTGAACTTGTTTTCATGTGTCAATCCCAATTCTTAGTTTTGTGAACTTTTTGCCTTATTACTATTGATTTGTCTTGCATATATTATTTGCTTGATTTATATTATTTTTTGCCTTGTTGATTGTTGGCTGCATTATATAGCAATGCAAGTTAAATTAACTGCTTAAAGAATGATAGGTGAGAGAGTTATTTTATCTTGTGGCAGAAAAGATGTTCACTGCAGTGTCTGTGTCAACCCAAAACTGCACCCATGTCTGTTGGCCTGTAGCATAAAATAGAAAACTTTTATTGCTACCAGGTGTGATGGTTATGTTTATGGCATTTCCTTTTGTTTGAATGCATTCTTGCTGTGGTGTAATAAACATGGGGAAGTGGTTAAGCAGTGGTACCAGCTTACAACACCAGAGCATGTTTAAAACCTTTTGAAATACTGCATCTGCATCAGAGCACATTTTCGTTGCAGTAGATAAAGATGAGGACTGTCCACATTGCAAAATGTTATGCCAATTGTGTTCAGGCTCTCATTTAACTTTGCAAGTTTATTAATTGTTGCGTTAGTTGAACAATGCTGACTTTGTGCACACTGTGGTGTATGACTGACATGCTTTGTTGATTGACCTTGTTAGGAAAGCCTAGAATACAATGACTGTATTCACTGCAAAAGGAGTTCTAAAAAGGCATCAGCTGCCAATTAAATGCTTACAGACACAAATATAATACTACTATTACTACTACTATTATTAATAATAATAATTATAAAATTATTTCAATATTAAATAAGCCATCAAGTTATATAGTCAACTGGCCCAACACTTTGTTGATAAGATCATTTGGGGGAAAGATATTTTCTATGTAAGTACTCAGAAGTGATAAGTTCTAGTATTTTGTCTATGAAAAATGGTGAAACATTCAATAATCATCTCTTCAGAAGTAGATGCCACAATGAGTTACCCATCAATTCTTGTTACTCTGATGCATCAGCTGATTTATTTTAAACAGGAAATGCAAATTTTGTGGCATTACTGATGCAAGTGAGAGCAATTCCTCCATTTAAGGATTCCATATAAAAGCTTGAATTTGGAAATCTACATCAGTATTTGACAATTTGGGCAAAGTTTAACAGAGTTACTTGCAAAACAAAAACAGTGTGTCAAAAGGACAATTTTTCTCTTGATACCACTATTGTTGTATACTCCCTCTTTTTGTGAGTAAGTTTGTTAAACTTTGCCAAATTATTCTTGCAAATAAACAATCCAATCTAATATATAGAGTTTAACATTTCTTTTGTCAATTCTTGAGAAAAATAGTATAAATCCAGATGCATGCAATCTATTTTAGTGAATATATGTGGTGAAAGCAAATACAAGAAATTTCAAAATTTGTAATGACAGTTACTCATTGTTCAAAGACATTTTTATAAATTTAACAATTAAAAATTCATTTTCATAATTTTTTATATGATAAATAATTAATACTGCATTATAGTCCATTCACATATTTTTATAATGTTGTTAATATAAAATTATTCTTGTAAATGAATAGCATCTAACATTTTTGTTGTCACTTCTAGTGACAAAAGAAAAGTCATCCTTTTGACATACTGTTTGTTAAGCATTGCCAAAATTTGTTTTTCTCTTTCTGCTTGTCACAGAAAAATAGTCAATGGCAATAAAAATGGATTTATTAAAACAAAGAAAATCATGGCTAGATGCAGAACAGATTTCAACATCTTAAACTAAATGGAAACTACAAAGAAAAAAAAATTCCTATGTTTGTTAAGATTTAAAGGAGACTTCTTATTACAAGTTGTGGAATGTGGGCTGACTCTGCAATGTTACAGTAAGCAACTGACATGTTTGAATGGTGCATTGTAAGAGAAAAAAAAACTTTCTAGGACAAGGAAATTGAGTGGTGATTTTGTGTCATAACAACACACTTTCCCTGTTTTTCAAAAGTGACACTGCAAATGATCATAGAGCTTAGGCTGGAAAGTTCCTCTACATGCAGCAGCCTCTTCACTAGACAAGTCATCAAGATCATCAGACTATTACTTATTTTTTCCTAAGAAACAATCCTTGTTAGGTGAATGGTTTCAACAAGTATCAAGGAATTTAAAAAAACAAACAAAAAAAACTGGAATTGGTCATTGGGGAAAAGGGGTGGCATCAGGTGATACAAGGCCAAAGTAAATAATTTAATGGCGTTATAGTGATGCTATGAATTTATAGGAATAAAAAAAATTGTCAAAAAATGCTAGAAACTTTTGCATGAATTTTATACTTGGGATCTTCATTGGAATGATTGCACACAAGCCAAATGCATTTCTTTTTGTAATCCATTAATATTAACTTTACTTTAAAATGATAATATTTTGCAATGTATTTAATGAAGTAAGACTATGCAATATTTTTCCATGCAAACAATTGAGTGATGGCCTGAAAGGCAAGAACATTTGTTCACATTGAAGTTTCCTTAAAAAAAAAAAGAGAAAAAAAGAAATAACAAAAGATTGTCTATGAGGTGACTGACTTGTATGAAAATATTCCAGATTCTGTTCTCTTCAAATTTTAGTTTCTTCTCTTTCAATGAATTAAAATGTTCTTTCAGTGGAGCTCCCTCAATTAGCTCCATAACAATGTACAGCTTGAGATCTGGAGACAGAAGAGGTTTTTAATTACTACATCATATTAAAAAAAATCATTTGCAATAAATCTTATGTTCATATTCAAAACAATCACACATGCACACACACATGCATGCACAAACACATACATGCACACATCAGGAAGTGTAAATATGCATATGAGTTCAAGAAATATTTTAACCAGCTGTATATAATAAAATGAGCATGTCAGTATGAAGTAACCTCATTGACCATTACTACTTCAGTCTTTACTAGGTGCTCCATACTTATGGCCTTGTGCCAGACTAAACTAAGCTTAGTCAATAATAAGTCTATGCAAAAAGATGATCCAGAGAGCAAATACTCAAAAAGAATTCAAAGATTACTTGCAGAAAAAAGATTAAATTAAATAATTAAAAATATATTTCTACTTCTGATCTTAATTGGATAAATTTTTTTCCAGATTGTATCAGAGAATATTTTCATTTTACATGCAAACCTTGACAGAAGAAATGATTTTACTCCCATCAATTAAACTGATAACCCAAATAAGAAAAAAGTTTAAAAGGCAAGAGGTTGTCAAAATTCAGTGGTTTAAAAAGAGATTTTTATCAACTGCATGTCAATGGAAAAATGTGTTCTGGTAAATCATTTGAAGTTCTTGCTCTTTTTACTTTACATAATTGCAAAGGAGTTGGAGTGTGCTTGTCAAGAAGCAGTAGCAATCTCTAAAGTCTGATCCTGGAAGGTTCAGGATACTGATTCAGCTTGATATTATTGCTATGTGAAGAATATTTATTATAACTATCAAATATTTAAGATCAACAGCATAACATTTTTTCATTTTTTAATAAGAATTTTGTCTTCCTGCATGTTTCACAGAACCATATCAAATAATTCACAAATTTTCTTGGTCTTTTTCACTCAACTGAAAAATAGAATTACTTTTTCCTTTTTGAAGGAAAAGTATACATACATGCAAATGAAAAAAATATGTACTCAAATAGAAGATCATTTGGAGGTAATCAAAAAGATCCAATTTCATGTCTTGATTTAAAACTTGAAGATTAAAATTAGACCATGGTGCAGAAGAAAGAAAAAGTAATCAACTTGACTGCATGAAAATTCTGCATTATATAAAACTAATCTGTATATATAATAAATCTTTAATCTATTAAAAGAGTTTCCTTTATAGCAAGAGAATAAAAAGAAATGAGAAATGTGTTCTTTTTACCTATTTTAAATGTTTTATAATAGCGAACAATATTTGGATGCCGCAACTGTTCTCGGATGATATTCAATTCACTGATCATTGCTCCAAGACTGTTGCATCTTTCCGTTTCATTCTTACCAAACAAAGGGCTTTCAATGTTAATCTTAGAAAAAGAAAAATGAACAATAAAACAACAAAATAATTCTTAAATGATACAAATTTATGGATGTTAATTTCTTATTTATGTTTTACAGATGAGATCAAACATTTAGATACAGTGGAATAATTTTCAATTTTAGTTACATTTTGAAATATACAAACAGGTTAGATAACTACATAATGTTAAAAAGGTGGCAATTCTAACTGGATGATACAGGCAATATACAAACTAAAACATTTAAGTAGTATGGGTTCTAAAGAATTCATACAGTCAGTCTGTCTTTTTCAGGTTTAAGAATTAACAGCATGTGTATATGAGAAGGGAAATAACATTATTCATTCTTAGATGACAGCTCTCATTTAGAAGCTGTTAACTTCACATGATAAAACACCAAAGTTGTATAAAAAACTTATATATTGTTATAATAAGTATTTGATTGTGAGAGGAAAGGAATAATAAGGATTATATTTTTGAACAACATTTATTTAATATACAGTGTGTTGTATAGAGATGTCAAAAAATAGGTGGAATGTCAGTTTCAATAGCCAATTGTCAGGATGGTGATCAAATGTAAGGGCAGTGCTGGGAGTTGACCTATTTCTCATGTGGGTTTGACCAAGGTCATGGTGGTGGGTCGATTCGTTGGTTGGTAAGCCTGTTCTGTGAAATGTGGTCATGGTAATGACTGCCAAGGGAATGCCTTGTAGCAAGTTGGGTATGCTGAGATGACGAAGTGGTGTGGGATTGGCGTGGTTGGTAGGCTATGGAATAGGGCTGTGGTGACAACTGCAAAAGGAATGCCTTGTAGTGAGATGGGTATACCGAAGTGACAGAAGTGGGTTGTTGAGGTGGTGTCAGATTGGCATGGCTAGTAGATCTATTCTATAAAATGGATCCACAGTGACAACTGCAAAAGGAATGCCTTGTAGTGAGTTTGGTATGCCCAGGTAACAATGGTGGGTTGCTGAGGTGGTGTCGGAGTTGGTAGACCTGCTTTATATAACAGAGCCACAGGGATGACTGCAAAGAGAATGCCTTGTAGTGGGGTGGTTTCAGGTTGGTGTGACTGGTATTTGCCGAGATGACAGCATTGGCGACATTGAAGACTTGTAGCTGGGTGGTGTCAAAGTTGAGATGTTATGTTGAAGCTGGATAGTTGAGGTGGTTAGTCAAGCCTGGGAGTGGTAATGATTGTTGAGAGGTGTGCTTATGTTGAGAGGTGGCAGTAGTGATGACAGCAGCAGCAGCAGCACCCTGTGTGTTGGCCACTGGCCTCCTGGCTCTCAACAGCTTTGAGACCTGCTTTTAAGCAGATCTGGTAGTCCCCAGGGGCATCTCCTTTACTGGCAAGAACTTTTGTGATTGGCCAGTGTTGCTTTCATTGCCAGGGTTCTTGCTTTGTAGACTGGATGTGATGCATGGAGAACAACTTTTTTTTTTATTTTGTCCCCTGTCTTCACGGCATTCATATCTGACCAGCATGCAGAATTAATCAGAAAGAGATCTAATTGCAAGTATGGAGAAGGGACAATGGGGAATTGTGAAAAATACATTGAGGCTATTAGGACATCACTCATTATTCTGAACTGTTATTATCAAACCACTGCCAATTTTTAAATCATTTCTGAATCAGGAAAATTCTATTGGCATCATGCCCCATTGTGGGCCAACATAATAAAATAGGAGGTATTACTTTCAGAGCAACCCTTGTAACAATACTAATAATCCACAGCTTTGTCCTGCAGGGTCATAGTGTAAAATAGAAATGGATAGAGACAAAGAAAAAGAAAAAAAAAAGATTAAAAGACTGACCTCTTTCATGGCTAAAAAGGACTGTCCAGCAGTCGTCTTTTTCACTTTGTATACTGAACCAAATCCTCCACTACCAAGCAATTCAAAAACAGCATAATCACCAATGTATTGGTCAGGTCTCTTATTCTGGTCAGTTTCAAGGACATTATTCTTAATCACTTGGATAGTTTCGGGCTGAAAAATAGGTGATTTCACTGATAGTCAACCCAATGTACTGTTGTATTGCTTTTAAGCACAACTTAAGTGACTCTACACAAAAACTATCATTCTCATGCAAAACAGAATCAACTTTTATATGACCTTATTAAAAATAATTAAAAGTTGAGGTTCAAGGAAGTTAAGTTTTATTTCAATATGCCCTAGTAAATTATTATTATTTTGCATAATGTGACCTACTTTTCATGCACATGGGTTTAAGAATTCATTTTGATGCACATTGTTTCAAGAAAGAGAATTGATTTTCATCATCATAATGTTAAAAGTAAAAATAACTACTTTATTTGGATCTCACTTGATAAATTGTTATCAAAGTGGGTATGATTGAGGTAAATTTTAATGTTGGTATCATTTAGTGGAGATGGATTGGTATTTTGATAATGACTATTTATATGAGAAAATAGTGTAATGCTATTGGAAAATAGAGTCTAAAGAATAACTTACCAGTTTTCAAAATCAGTAAAAGATCCAAGATCAAGAATAGATGTCTATTAGAAAATGTAAATTTTTAGATAGGGTCTACATAAAAATCTTTCACTTTATGACAAAGTAACTTCTAACAAATGAATTTTAAGATAGGATGTTATTATTAGACGCAAGGGCTATTACTTTTTTAATTTTTTTTCTTCTTAAATTGAATAGATTACAATTATTTTTTCTCTTGGCTAAATTATGCAAAACTGAAAATACTGCTAAAATTCTACTTTATTTCTACATTAAACTTGAAAATACTATTAGGAAGATTATTTCTAGATCAACTTATCTAGATTTTTTACATTGATATCTCTAAAAATAATATTGCATTAATCATTTATTTAACATTTCTGTCTCTATTTACTGAGTCAATCTAAAAACACTTTAAAAGCTATTATTAAGCTGAATAATTTATGGAAAAGAAGGGAATATAGTAATTAAAAGTTAATTATTAGGTATAAGTAAAACAGAATGAATTATTTTAACTTAGGTGGAATAAGGCATAAGAGGTATTAATTATTATTTTAAAACTCAGCAATAAAGAAGTGAACTTTGGAAAAGGAGAGTTTCAATAAATTTAATGTTAAATAAAATTTCTACTTACAGGAAGACTTGAGATCTTTTCAACCAAACGTTGGTAGTTGGCTAAATATTTGTTGTAATGTCCAACATCTATAAACATTTCATAAAGCTCAGAAGGAAATAACCGTTTGAATAAGCGACGATTTCGTTCCACACTAAACAAGAAGCGTAATGTACGGAAGGAATTTTTCTACAAAACCAAAAAAAAAAAAAATAAATATTTTTTACAACAAGCAGAACTTTTTTGAAAGTTTTACATGAAAGAGATTTCACTCATAATGATGCATTTAGAGTAACAAAATTTGTTTTTGAGTAACACTTGAAATCATCATTTCCAACTTGAAACATGAAAATCATGAAAGTAAAAAGATTATTTTTAATATAAGAAGAATTTCAACAAGAAAATTCCATATCAGAGGATTTGTGGTGTAGAAAAAACTGAGTCAAAGAGTGATTCTGGTGAAAAGAATTTTATAATATGACTGAAGCTGTAATTGTAACTAGACTAATAAAGAAGAGAAAAATAACTGCTAATTGAAAATGTTGTGCCCCATTTTCATTCTGTTATTAAAACCATTTTGCAGTATGGAATGAAGAGAAGAAGGCATTTATGAATGAAGTGATTATGATATGAGGGTGACACTCAATGCAAGGCTCATCAATTCATAAAAAAATCATTTTGGTTGATGAAAGAAGGAATTTCGCTAATAAAAATGGTGGAGTGTAGGTTCATTCCAGTCACAGAAGAGAGAAGTGCAAGACAGAAAGACTTCCTAATATTTAGTAGGGAGTATTTGTCTTATCTGAAGGTTGATTATATAAGGTGATGAGAGTTTTCAAAATTGTACCTGTTCATCAATGCTAAAAAAACTGCCTCCTTCCATAAATAAAGTTTCTTATAATTGTTTGTATTTGACCAAGTTGAATTGTGGGATAAATCTTATGGACAAAATTGGTTGTGCCAGATTTGTTATTATCCAAGATTCACAGTATTTGTTATTGTCGGCCTTATGTACCTTAACGCTTGTTCAGGTTAGGCTATGGCTAAGCAATTGGCAAAGGGGGAGAATTAATAAGGAACACATCTAAAGTGTATCTGTCCTACTACAGTGAGATCAGTAAGCTAATCTCACAAGCCACTGAGATTGTATATGGAAGTGGAAGTTGACGCTTTTGTGGCTAGAATACAAGTGATAAAAATTGTTTTTCCTGTGCAGGAGGATCATGCATAATTTCTGAATAGAAAATAAGAAAAAGAATTAAAATATTTCTGACACTAAGAAGGCTTTGTGACAAAAACAAAACTTGTTCTCTTTGAACCCCCACTGGATTCATAATAGAAGCTGAACTCTTTAAGTGAGTAGGAAAAAAGTTCCACAGAACTGAATATGTCACTTCTGTGCTCTCTCTTTCTTCTGATATCATGGGTGTTCAAGTTTTTCCAGTTCTACTTCCAACAGTAACTTTATATGTATTGTTAATTTTCAGCAAACTCTAAAAATATGAACATTATTTTTTTCTATTTGCACTGAACTCTCAAAGAAAAAGTTTTCATTCACTTGAATGAAATACATTAATATGTTTTATTGCATAAAATATATTTTATTCTATAACTTGTATCTATGACGATGTTTGAAAAATATTAAAAAAAATGAAAAACCTATATCTTGTCATGCCTTTTTAAATTTTATTTTGTGCTTTTGTTTGAATAAGCTGTGCCCTTATAGAAGCAGCAGTCTTCTTCTGATAGATAAAGAATTTATAGCGAGTTGAACTTCAATATCTTTTCTGATACTACACTTTGTGATGTAGTGATATTATTGATTACTAAAAGTTGCTTTCTAATAAAGTTAGTGCAGACACAAGATGTATGAGTCAGTAGATTTCAGACAGTTCCTTGTATATGCTAGAATCCTTTACCTGGTCTCTGTGTATCCCTAAATGGGTCTCTGCCACATTAGTCTTTCATGAGCTGTAAGACACTAAACACATGACAGGCAGTAACCGAAAGAGGTTGTAGTTGAACGTAGTTGTGAACCTGCCACATGTTATTTTTGGACCATTTAGAAAATAACAATAATAACTCCTTTCACCATTCCTGCAAATTTGAGAAAAAGATTTTCACAGGCCAGTGTGAAATTATTTTCTAACCAATAAAATCCTTGTATTCAAAAAAGTTCACACCTCTATGTGAAAGTAGATTTTGAATCCTCTTACAGATATAAAAATAGAAGCATACTTCTTGAGGTTCAAAACAATTTTGGTGGCCAGTTTGATCTATATATGTGTACACACACATGCACTCACACATATGCACACAATAGAAGAGAGACAGCAGCTGCAGACTAAGGCCTTGTCCACACACACACAATAGAAGGGATTAGCCAGAAACCGCCTACAAAACTTTGTCTACGAACTCACAAACACATTAGGCTGACTGTCATAAAGTAAGCCTGTTCACATATTTCACACTGAACTAAGAATACTTAATTACTTTATAAAACAAGCATCACTGTAAGGAAAATTGAATATTTTATTGCTGATGTATATTTCTGAAAAAAATATAGAAATGTTCTGCTTCTACTTTTCCTTCAGAAAATAACCTTTTTTTATGTTTCATTTAAAAGATGTGCTGTTGTTGTTATTAAAGGTTTGGAAAACCTAGGTTGTGGATTCTAACAGATCTACAAATCCAATCTTGTGCTTGATTCAGCTTACTGAAAGATAGGCATTCAGTTTGGCTGGCAGAATCATAAAAAATATTCCTGTTGACAACAAAGGCTTATTCCAATAGTAAAAAGAAGTGAAAGAAAAAGAAAAGAAAAGAAGTTTGACATGAGAATATTTACCTGTAGTGTCTCAATGGCTTTTCCTTCCTTCTTGTGACTATAAGGTCTGGGTAGAATGAGTTGTCCCAAAATGTATATGCCATTGGCCTGGACAATTTGATGAGCATTTGTATCATTCAACACAAGTTCAGTCAAAGCAGCACAGCAGGCTAGAGAGAAAGAGAAAGAAAATTTCAAAAAGTAACTGACATGGAGAGAAGTTATAATTGTAGAAATGGTTAAGGTATATTACTATTAAATGTCCTTTAGGTAAGTTATGGATAATCACAACAAGGAATATATGAAAACAAACAAATAGTGAATGAACTGATCAGGGTCTATCAAGACGAAATCACTTGTCAAAGGAACAGAAAAAAAAGGAGTAAAGGGAGGTAATTTATCAATCATAAGAAGTAATTCACATAAAAAATAAAATTTGTACTAAACTTCTTTAATTATATCACTATAAAAGTGAAGAAAATATTTATTTTATAACGAAAAATATTGAAGTTTTCTGTTTTTAATTTTAATATCAAAACAGTTTGTTTTAAGCAAAGAATAACTCAGCAAATATTCAACTGAAAAATAGCAACTCAAATAAGACATTTTTAGTCTATCAATTCTAGAAATAAAGATATCAAAATGAACAAAGTTAATGAGTTATTCAGAAAAATAACAGCATTAATAAAAAATATAAACAAAGAAAATGAACGATAATATTTTTTTTAAAACTTAGTGCAGATATTTTTACAAGAATTCAAGGTTAAATTTGCAAACAATAAGTTTTGTTACTGAGTTTGTTAATGTAGAATTTTTCCTGAGCACATAAATTAATTTCAATTGCTCAGAGGGTTTTACTTCTTATTCTTCAACCCCAAAAACAAATATTCTTGAGAAACTTACATTATTTTTGATGATTTATTAATAAGTCAACTAAAATGAAGAGAAAACTGTTAATGCTTTAATCATTAAAGTATTAGAATAATTTATGAATTGATATTTGTTTGTCAAATTTATCTTTTAAAATTTCACATATTATTTAAACATCTTGAACTTAGTTGCATAAATCATGATATTTTAGTAATTGAGTCCTTGAACCTTTTCTCACCGAGAACCTTATCCCCATATTGCCAATCTCTATTGTCTCAATATGAACATTGATTGTTAAGTGTTATTCATCTGGTGCAGAAATGTTTTTATTTCTTGCAAAATCCTTTTTGGTTGCAATATATACACCATAAGGATTGCTCTGTTTGTTAGAAGGTGGGACAGGGAATATCGACAACAATTAAAAAAAATTCTTTCAAGTTTTTCTTTTGAATTAAAAAAAAATGTGGTGTTCACCAGAGAAAGCCTATTGAACCAACCAGGCAAAATATAATGATTGAAACAACAAAGGTGAGAATGTTAATCTATATCATTTGTTGAATAATGACAATATTTTACCTCAAACTCCCAACAACATATTTTTTCAGTCAAACTGCAAAATAAAAAAAACAAAAAACAAACAAACAAAAAAAAAAAACAGTTTTCAATGAATACAGCTCATGTTTTCACAAGATCTGTAGAGAAAATATCCAACTATTTTAAATATCTTAAGAACTAGTTGTGCAGCTTAAGTTGTCAACCAATCAGGTGTGCTGGGAAGGGGATGATCTTACTGTGCATAAGTGAACAGACAAACTCTCCAGTCAGAGTTATTCAGTAGGCACTGAGATGCCACTGTGCAAGTATGTGTACTCTGTAACTGTCACATAGATCATGAAAATGCACCTGTCCATTGTTAGGATCTCATGCAGGGCTTTTTGGCAAAACATCACATCACTCATCAGATTTGGCCTTTAAAGAGAACCAAGGTGTCATTGTCCTAGGTTGGTTATGTTTTTCACTAAACCTGAATAGCTGGACCATTTCCAGACAAATCTGAACACTCAAACACATACAAGTGATCTCCCTTCTGACATTAATGACTTAATGCTATTTAAGTTCTGCCTAAAAATGAGCAAAATGAGTGGTTGGAATAAAATATCTGAAATCATTGTTATAAGCAGAATCATATTTGAACATGATTGTTATTTATTAACTATTTTTGAACAAAGAGCCAAACTGAAAGTGAAGAGAAAAAAGAAAAGAAAGATCAAAAATATCAACTTGCATAACAGCTATAGTTTCAGGAACTTGAGATTATTAGGCATAAGAAAAACTTAAAACCTAAACTCTGTGTTTTATACTTCAAACTGGTGAATTCCATCTAACACGTTTGACTCAGAGTAGGGCATTGGTACTGACATGATTCCAGAAAATGTTTATGCTTTTCCCAAGAATTCAACAATGACATACACTGATATTCAGAAAAGATTTTTTATAACTTTTATATTTTGACTGCTGCCTGACACTGACATTGGATGTGCAGTGTACACTGTAATTAATAATGACTTGTAATGAGAAATCGGAGAGATGTGCTCAAATTCCAGTCAGGTTCATTACATCCAATTATGCAAGTACCCTTGGGAAAAGTATGAATCCATCTCTTCTTCCCCAGCTATGGGTAGAATAACAAGATAGACTATAGCCTTGGTTGGCAACCAGTCAACCATAGAAAGAAACGTCAGCCTACTGTGAGAAATCTTCTGCTTAGTCAGTCATGATTCAAAAGAGAGAGACGAACATCCAAGTGTGTATCATGTGAGGCACTCGACTTTTTCTGATTTAACATAGACATTCCTAGAAGAAAGAATCAATGAAAAGCAAACATGAATGAAATGAAAACTAAAGATTTTATGGGATGCAGAGATGGTTTAGATAATCACCCAGGATAAGCTTGGGATTATCAGATGATTATCAGTGTGAACCCAAATTAGATTTTACTTACCAGATTTGAGAGAGTAGTTAATTTCCAGCATTTTGGCATTCTGTATAAAAAACAAATTAATAAAAAAGTATTTTTTTAAATTAATGTTAAAGTTTATTTGTAAATTAATCATATTAAATTTTTTAATAATAATAATAACATTAAACTTTCTTATAATAATTGTTTTCTTTTTTTAAAATAGGAATAAGTTATTTTTCCTGGCTTAGAGTATGTTATAGTATGTTAATTCTTTCAAATTATCCATTCAAATATTGAGCAAGCCCAATATCACTGATATTTTCAAATGTAATCAATTATTTTTTTGTTTTTATTATAATCCACCCAATACAAAGCAAAAGAGGTAACCAAGGCAGAAAGATAGTGAATGGGGTGTGTGATATGATCATAAGAGGAAGGTGTAAGAAGTGAAGATTACAAGCATATAAAGAATGACTGAAGAGGTTAAGATTATAGTATTCTGGGAAGCATCCACAAGGGAATCTGTTCCTCTAAATAGTGGTTTTTAGGAAGAAGATTTTGAAGTGGAATGCTCTTCTTACAAAAGGAATACATGGGGAATTGTGGGTGATTTGACCCTGTGGATGCAACAAGAAAAGGGTTTGGTTGTAAAGGTCTGAGCTAGTGGCATTAAAGAATGGAGCATGTCAGAACATTTGCCATGGAAGTAGCAATAGGCTTACAATGCTGTGTTGGTGGGAAGCTGTGGGGTGGAAAATAAATTATACCCAACAAGGACATGTAAATGCTTTTGAAGTCTTTCAAGGCTGCAAAGTGCAGCTCCAGCCAGTTACAGCAACAATATTCCATATTTGATCTGATCTGACTCTTGTAAATGGTAAAAGGTATTAGGTACTTTTTGTGGTGGTACAAGGAGCTGACAATTTTCCCAGCATCTTTAACAATGGTTTGTACTGATGAGTTCCATTTGTGGTTTGGTGTGAAGTTGAGTTTCATTGAAAGTGCATTGAAAAATAAGTAAATTCAAGGACTGATTGGTGATGATGAAACATAATGAGCTTTGGATTTGGAGGTATTAAAAGTTACAAGCCAGTCTTTCCCCACATTGAGCTAGGTCAGAGGTTAGGGGAGGTATCAGCTGCTGGGCTCTTCTCATTTTCAATTTGAAACATGCACCCTAGACACTGTTGTATCATCTGCATAGATATTTACTAATAACTTTGTCATACCTCTTACATGTTTCTACACAAACCAGATGTTGACCGCTCAATGATACAAAATAGACTACATAAATATGTTTTCTGTGCATAGGCTCCATGTATACATCCACTTTAATCAAAATAAGATAAACAATTTATTGACCAGTCAGAGCCACTCCCACTCCAAAAACCAAAATCTTAATTTGGATCCAAACAATGGATATATATTGTCTAATTAAAACAAACTCAACACAGGCCAACTTGGACATAAAGACCTGCTAGCTGAGGGGTGTGACACAAACCAGCCATCATATCAATACCAACACGCTAAGAGAGAAACAATAGCCATCAGCAATTTCACCATTCTCTCTCCCTGTTGCATTAGTAGCAGTAACAGTTACTAGTTTTGTATGTATGTAAATAAATTATACATTTATTTGCCCATACTCAAATATAGTCATTTTTACTTGAATTTACATTTGCCGAGGCAGACGAGGAATTAACCTCCACAACAGTAACAATGACAACAAGATTCTGTCTCCTTGGTTACCCATTTCCACCTGTGCAACAACCTATGTTCTTAGGCAGCCCATTAGTATAAAGCAAAAAGAGAATAGGATTGAGAAGAGATTCTTGGGGAATGTTTGATTTGATATCATGGGCATCAGAATATAAATCTACCTGAGAGGAAGTGCTTGATAATTACAAAGACTTTTCCAGAGATACCACAGGTGGTGTATTTGTGTAGTAACATTCAATGCCACATCTTGTCAAAAGCCTTTAAGGTATCTAAAGTAATTGCGTTTGTGATGAAGTTATTATTGAATATTTTACTAGTATGGTGTGTAATGATGATTAAAACATCAACATTGGCTCTAGACGAATGAAATCCATACTGTTTGTTGCTCAGGAAGTTGTTTATTTTTTTTAAGAAATCAACCATTTTGAAGAATTTGCTGTGGACACTAAAGAGGCTGATAGGGCATAAGTTGTGACAAGGATGAACACACACACACACATTCTTGAAAACAGTGCATACAGCTGACACCTTTCATAGACTTTGGAAACATTTCTCCAGTAGTCAAAAATAAGAAAAACAAAAAAACCTCTGAGCTAAGGTTCTTAAGAATTACCAAAGAGATTTTATCAGGTTTGGTACAATCAAGGCTTTTGATGTGGCTGGACATTTCCAGGGATGTGATAGAGAAATCACAAAGTTTGTGATTTGTGAGAGAGAGAAAGTCAGGTAGGGGATGACCCTTGTCATCCAACATGGAATTAGAAGCAAAGAGCTTAGTCTTATCTGATGAAGATGAGATGACCTCAGGGCCATTTATAATAGTAGGCACTGATGAGTTGCCTCTATTAAGAATGTTCTTCATGATTTTCCAGTCTGCACATAGCCAATCTTAACAATTTTCAATAACTTTCTTACAATGATAGCAGGCAGTTCTGAATGAAGCAAGAGTTTTACTACACTATTTACAGTGTTAAAGATGGTAGTAGCAGTTATGGTGAGATACACAGCACATTTAGGTGTGAACCAAGGCTGGTTATTCAACCTTTGCTGATATATCTTGTGAGGGACAAAACTCTCTATGTCAGAAAGAATTAATTTAGAAATGAGGGTGATTGTTCTGGTAAATCTATTTTTGAGAGAGAAATGTTTACAATGAATGATCAGCTTTGGAGTACTGAAAAATTATCCTATGAAATGGGACATCAAAGGATGCCTTGCATCACTTTTGACACAAATCAGTGTGTGGTCAGAAGAGCCCAAGGTGGTAACACTACAGTGAAACATATGCCAGGACAGGAGGTGAGAAAGAAGGCCAGAAGTTTGGTGTCTGCTATATAAAGAACACAAGTAGGCTCATCCATGATCTTGGTCAGCTTGTATGCAAATGAAGAAGTCATGACAGTATTTCCCTTCTTCAACAGTTTTGAGTGGACTAACCACTCCTCACGAACATTATATGGATGCTAGCTGAGAGATGATCACATAGGATAACAGTAATTTTCTCAGTTATTTGGTCAAATATCAAGACTCTATATCATCCTGATATATATATATATATATATAGAAAAGATGAAGAACATACTATGAATGAGGCCATACAAAAGCACATTTATGAGAAAGCAGGGTCCTTGTCATTAAGTTCTCTGTCACATGGGAACCCATTCCTGATATAGGTCCCAAGCCCATGACCATTGTGATTTAGAAAGTCTTCTTTCATAATTAAGGGAGAATAATCAGGGATTGACAACTGGAATAGACTGACTGAAGCCAGTTTCAGACAAGAACATGAGGTTACATTTGACAAAATGATCTAGTTGTAATTAGTTTCAACAAACTTCGATAAAACTATTCAAATTCATCAAGTATAGAAGATTATTTTCTTTTTAAACTTTATTCTATATATTTATAGACAATTATCATGCTTCCAACAAAGTGTTTCAGCTGTCATATTCTTCAGTTGATTTTCAAGTTGATTATACCAGTAGATGTTTTTCAGAAGTTGATAAGTATTTCTTTATTATGTTTCACTGAAACATTGTTAAAACAAAATTAAAATTACAATTCCCAAAACTGTGGAATAATAAAAATACTTAATCCCAGAATATTTCAAATCATGTATATACACACACACACACACGTGCATGCTGCTTATCGACATTGAAAATAAAGTCAAAGACAACCATGTGACCCATGTTCTTAACTCAAATAAATTTTGGAATACACTTTTATTAAAGTTCCAATTTAATTAAAATTTTCATATAACAGACTATTGACTCTAACAGAAAAGTTTTTTTTAACTTTGATTTGATTAAAATCCAGAATGTTATTAATATCTACTCATTATTATATTATTTTGACTTAATTATGGCCTATATTGATCATTGGATCACTTACTACAAAATAATCTCATTACCCTTTGAAACTTACTTGTAACTTTTAATTATGTTGAAAATATATAACAGACATTTGTTTACTGATGTTAGCTACAGAGCCTTGATGGATTTACAGATTGTGAAATCTATCAGAGATGAAATTTAAAATTTTTATTATTGCATTATTCCAAAATTTTAACACATCAGTGGATAGCTATTAATGTCAACAACTGAGCACAAATAGTTATCAATTAAAAAAAGTTAGTAATTAATATATAATATTATCCATAACCACATGTACAAGAATGTCATTTTTGATAAAAGTTAAAAAATAAACATAAATATGCAAAAATGCATATATTGTTGAAAATTCCTTTTCCACAATATAGCAATTTGTGCTATGTTACAATGCTTATTACCTAAACAATAATAATGTTGAATAATTTTTTTAAACATTAAAGTATATTTAATCACATGTCCCTAATAGCTGTTGCGATCTGTTAACAAATAGAGTCAGTTCAAACAATTTTCATTTGTTTGTGCCTCTCTTTTTATGCATTTATCCTTCATTTAAATAAATCTTTCTGTCTTGTTTTGTTTGCATTTGGCTTGTGTTTTCTCTTGGTTTTCATTTAAAACTTGGAAGAAAAGCACATTGGCACTGATAGTATCAAGATGTCTGCTGCTGAATTTGTCATTGTTGTGCTGAGTCTTCAAAATATGCCTAGATCCAAATGTACATTTATTTGGATCTGCAATGTGTGTAGATCCAAATAAATGGTATAAAAACCTTTCCCAGATGATGCTCAGAATATCCAGGGTTTTATGGGTTTAACTTGTAATTTTTAAGAAAAATCCTAAATATACACACAAACAACTTACATCTATATGACTGATATGAAGTTATTTGAAGCCTTTAAGAAAAGCAAGCAAATTAATCAAGGTTTTAAGACTGACCATAAACAGATTTAAGCAGACTTATAAAAAATAGGCTACCAGAATTGTTTATTACTGTCATTGTTATTTCACTTTCATTGGTAGAAGCTGAATAATGATAGAATGTCTTAGAATTAATCTGTTTCATGTACAATTAAAAAATTTATTTGTGATATTTAAATTCAACAGTAAATTCAAGCAGTAAATAACTGAACAGGAATTGGGGATTAATTAAGAGGGAAAATGAGTGACTGTTTACTCAAGTAAAAGTATTTAAAACAAAATCAGAAGAAAAAAAAATCACCAAGATTAAAAAGAAATATATTTGGAGAAATTGTATCAAGTATGTTTATAACAATAAATTACTTATTCCAATGTTTTTTTAAATATAAAAAATATGAGGCAAATTGAAGTCTTATTTTCCAACATGTCACTAGTTTTTTTAAAATGGTTTTCATTCAATAATCTTTTTTCCTTCTTGCCATCTCTGTTTAACTCTTTCTTTCTACAAGTATCAATCAAAATCATTTGTTTGATAACAATTCTCAAAATAATCATTAACAACAAAAAAAAAGGTAATGAAAAACTCACATGCAGCTGAGAATTATGTGAAGTGTCACAATGTAAAAGTGAAAGCAATAAAGGGATGCCACCCAATTGCTTTATTTCATGCCGAGCGTCAGGTTGTTCGCTTAGTTTTACTAAACACCAGACCACTTCCCACTGCAGTTCTGTGTCAGAATTGTGAAACTGACTGAAAGCAGATAGTAATGAACAGTTAAACAAAATTATTAGAAAAACTGGAAAATTAAAAATTAATTTTTAGTTTAAAGGAAAAAAAAAAAAAAAACTTGGAGCTTTTCTGCATACTACATAAACAGAATGGTTCATCAATATTTGTAATTATACTTTGAGGTGTTGGCAAATTTTGATAAAATTGTTTCATTTAAAAGAAGTGAATAAAGTTCCAGTTTTCACAAAAAACAGATGGATTTTGTTAATAATTCAAATAATTCATGAATCCTTTGTATTAACAACTTCATCTTTTGATCCTTAGGCTAAAACAAGGAAGCCAGGTAAAAGTGATGATTTTGGTAAAATATTATGAAGGTTTTGTTTTGTAAAATATCAATTCATAAGCTGTCATGGACTCTGTTCTATTGCATTGTTCTATGACATGTGATCAGTAGTCAATTTCTGCTTGCCGATTTCACTTCTACTTAACATATGCAAATAGGGACAATCTTATTTACCAATCCACTACACCTCCCTGAACTTCTTCTATAACCTCTTTTTCCTCCCCACAACCTTGAGGTATATGCCCTGTTCTTTTTAATGGAGAACCACATTACTAGAAAATACCACTCTTAGTGTTTAATTGTAATTGTTTTTCTATCTTTAACAACTTCAGGCCATCATGAAAAGGAGTCTACTAAAATTAGAAATAGTCCCATGCCATGAATGTGTGCATGGTCCCTATGAACATGAGACAAATGTTCTGTTTCTTTAGGCCATGAGTGTATTATCCTTTGTTGAGAATTCTATATTTCTGCACATTTTGGGCATTTGTGTACATATCTTTCTATACTGTGGTAATACCCTGGCCACCATGCCTCCAATTTTAATCTCCTCTGTGTAGTCAATGCACATCACATAATGCACACTTTCCTATAGAGTTTCTGATACCAATATTTATAGAGATAATGTGTCTGTTTCAACCCAATGTAATATTTCTTCATCCAGGATTTCCATTTTTCCTTCTTGGTCCTTATTAAATTGTAACCTTGACAGCGCATTGACATGTAGTATTGTATTTCCTTTTATGTACTCAATGTCAAAATCATAAGCCATTAATTTTATGGCCCATCTTAGAATCCTGGAAGAAGTGATTTTTGGTAGCTCCTTTTTAGGGTAACAAAATAAACTCTAGAGGTCTATGGTCTGACTTTAATAGGAACTTCTAACCTAATAAGAATTGTTAAGCTCTGTCTGTGCTTCAGATGTGAATAATTTATTTCTGCTGCTGTCAATCTTCTTGAAAGATACATTATTGGATGGTCTTCTTGTGATAAAATTGATGACACAGCTTGCTCACTCAAATCTGTACTTAATGTTACCGCCTTTATGGGATTAAATACATTTACAATGGATTTTTCTGCAAGTATCTCTTTTAAATCCTCAAATGCTGAGTTTTGCCTTTGAGTCCATTTGAACTCACTATTCTTTTTACACGGTTCAGCAAATGGTTCTATTACGTCACTGTGTTTTGGTAGATATCTATTATAAAAATTAACCAATCCTAAACAGCATTCTAATTCTTTTTTATTAATAGGTATAGATACCTCTGAAATTTTCTTAATTTTGTATCTGGTGCACTGCCATCTTTTGAAATTTGGTACCCTAAATATAATATTGTATTGCAATCAAATTCACATTTGTCTTTTTATTGTCATCCTGCATTTTTTAACTTGTTTAACACATTCTGTTTTTTGTCTTAATTAGTTCTTAGTGGTAGCACCAAGGAAAATATCATCTTGATAAATAATCATATTACTAATTTTGTCAGTTAACACATTTTCCATTGCTCTCTAAAAAAAAAAATGGCACTTGCCATTTTCACTCCAAAAGGCATTCTTGTCCATCTTAATAATTCTATCGAGATGTTCATAGTGGTAATTTCCTTGAATTTATCATCAATTTGTATTTGATTGTAGGCAGATTTTAAATCAATTTTTGCAAAACATTTCATGCCTGACAATTTGAGGATAGCAGTTTCAGTATTGGGAATAGGAAATGAATCCGAGCATATTTTACGATTTATGCCTGTTTAAAAATCACCACATATTTTTAAGTCTCCATCTGATTTTCACAAAACTAGAATGTGAGAGGCCCATTTACTGCCACCTAGAGGAACATGCTCCAGAATTCCTTCCTCTTTCATTTTTTGTTAACTTAGCAACTACCAAAGGTAGAAGGTGAGTAAGTTATTTATGAGATACAAAATAAATGTGGGTACCATTTCCAATTAATTGTATAAATGCTTTATACCTCTTTAACATTCCCATTTTTACTTTTTCTCATTAATTTTGATGTATCCACCTTTAACACATCTATATTTAATAATCCATTAATTTTTTACATTCCACTACTATAATAGGAATAATTTTGAATCGGTCACAGTTTTCAAATGTTCCATTGAAGTATCCCAAAGGTTTTATCAAAGATCCATCAAATTGTCTCAATTTCAGATGACTTTTTCTCAATTTTGGTTTACCTATTTTTTCCCAGAAATTTTTGGGGATCAGAGTGACTTTACTCCCTGTATCCATTTGATTGGATTTTTTCCTTAGGTCTTCATATTAAAAAATATAATCAATTCTCTCTTTTTCCTCTTTTTTTATACTATTTTCTTTTTAACTTTGCATACGGACTGAAAATAATTTTTTCTTCAGCAGTTATGGCAAATTTTTCCAAAAGCAGGGCACATTTTTCTGTCAATTTCATGCTCATAGTTACAGTATTTGTATTTCTTATGTTCTTTTTTTATACTGTACATTTCAATATTTTCCTCAGGGAATTATATTTTTTTATCAATTCCAGCTGTTGCATAACTTCTACACATGTGATTAGAGACAAATTATTCAATTGTAATTGTTCTAATATCTTATATTTATGAAATGTATCAGTCATACTTTCAATCAATTGTAATTGAATCAATTCATCCTTAATAGTGAAAACTTGAGTTCCAAGTTTCTGAAATTTCAAGAATCTGCTAGCTTCTCTTAATCTGTGAAGATATTGCATGATTGTTTCATCTGGTTTCTGTTTAATGAACAGAAATATGGTTGTGGCAGACATGAGACAGAACCTGGGACGAGCACAACTGGTCGCGACTTGCCTTGTCCCCGCCAAAAAAGAGCCCGTATTTGCTTAGCATGTAAAGCTACTGCAGTTGAAATGAGGGAGAGAAAAAAGCACTTACCGCTCTGCCGTAATCCATCCTCGGCCACATAATGTAAAGAATGAGGGGCATCGCATTTTTTATGCAATAACGATGCAATGCATTATGGGACATGGACACAATGAATTATGGGATCACATGAAGACGCAAGGATTATGGGTACATGAACAACTATAAAAACAACTACTTTTTTTCCGAGTCTGGGAGTTCTTGAGGGACGTTCACGGTTGACGGCTAGAACGGGCAGTTAGTGTGATTTGGAGACAGAACTCAAGAAGGAACGACTCAAGTTTGAAATACCAGCTGGGAGACTTTGAATTTACTCGCTGGTTACTGTTTTCTTCATTCACCTCAAGCTATTTCGCTTATTGATTCTTCAAAATGGAAGGCAAGGTCTTTGACGTCCGTTTGATTCCAGAATTCAGCGGGCCTTCAACGGATATGCCCATTGTTGAATGGATAGAAAATGTGGAATTGGTCTGCGAACTTTGTGCCATGGACAAGATCGAAAGATCTTGCCTTTACAACTTCGAGGCGGTGCCCTTGCTGTATATAGACAACTCAGTGGAGAGCAGAGGGCAGACACGGAACAACTTAAACGGGCCCTTATGACTGCATAATGCCGACTGACAGATTTAATGTGTTCGACCAATTTATGGATGGCATCTTCGCCCAGGGGAAACTGTGGATGAATTCCTGGCTGAAATGCATCGTTTGGCGTGGCTAGTAGGAGAACCTAGCTACCTGATCGGTGGATGGCATGTGCATTTGTGTCAGGACTGCCACATCATGTTAGGCAGCTTCTCAAAGCTTCTTCCAGGATGGACGACATGAATCTAGAACAGATTCTGACCCGAGCAAGGGCTATTATGACGGATGACGAAGGGTGCCAGGTATTTGCCGCCGCATCTGTAGAGCTAACGCGCTCAGAAGCTGAGGTTCCCCCTGCCAAACCTGTTAGCAGAATGATTACCTGCTATAAGTGCTCTGGACCCAACCATATGGCGAAGAATTGTACACAAGGACGTCAGGAGAGGTCAAACAGAACGCAGAGGTCTGGTCGCGACAAGCGGTGTTTTCGATGCAACGGCATTGGACACATTTCCTCAGAATGCCAGGGAAATGCCCAAGGGGAGAAGGCGTCAGCGCCAGCCTTCTCACCGAGCAAGTAAAAACCCGGAAGTTACCCACCGTACAAGTCTTTGTAGATGGAGTAGAGTGCACAGCTCTAGTGGATTCGGGATGCTCACAGACGCTGGTGAGCAAGACTGTGTGTCGCTGCTGGAAGCAGGAAGAGGTGGAGTGTTGACTGCCGACGGAAGACCCTGAAGTGCCGTGGATACGGTAAAATTAAGTTACGTCGAGCAGATTCAGCCCGTGACTGTTGAGGTTCTGGTCGTGGAAGGGCAGTTGCTAGGATTCGATCTTCTTCGGATTGATGCAATCAAAGTGCTCGGAGGTGTTTACTTGACCGAATCAGGCGAAAGCTCGTTTTTCAACCTGAACACATGTGCCGCCATTGTTATCAACAAGCCTGACTTTAGAGTGACGTTTAACCCGAGCACAAAAAACGTGGACTGCATTGTGGAAGTGGGCGAGTGGTTATTCACCTGGCAAGTTGGTCAATGAAGTACAGGAGTACACAGTACCTGGCCACGTCCGGATGCATACGATGAAGAACTAGCACGGTGGAAGCAAGACGGATGGCTACTGCCATATCCTGAGAAAGAGCTTGGCCCACCCAAGGGATTAATTCCCTTAATGGCGGTCGTTTCAGAACACAAACAGAAGGTCCGACCGGGTACTTGACTATCGGGAGTTGAACGGCTTTGTAGACGCATTCACGGCTGACGAGGGTGTGTGCGCAGAAATTACGAGAATGGCGGCGACAAGGAGCTGACGTATTGCTGTTGGATTTGAGAAATGCGTGCCTACAGATTCACATTGACAAATCGCTATGGCCGTTTTCAAACAGTGGTCATTAAGGGCAAGCGGTTTTGCCTTACGCTGCTTGGGTTTTGGCCTGAATGTGGCACCACTTGTCATGAAGTCAGTGATTGACATGATAACGTCCCAGGATCAGGACATTAAGAGTGCCACATCGGCATATGTCGACGATATCTTCATAAATGAAGGCCTAGTTTCTGCAGCGTGCGTAAGACAGCACTTTGCAGATTACGGGCTAGTCTGTAAAGATCCGGAGCGATTGAGAGACGGAACTAAAGTCCTGGGTCTGCAAGTCTGGGAAGAAAGCAACTCCCTTCGATGGAAGCGGGAGGTCAGGTTCCAGAAATTGTTCAAAAGGTGACCCGCCAAGCTGTATTTTTCCTTGTGCGGGGAAACTTCGTGGGTCATTTCCCTGTGTGCGGGTTGGCTTAGGGTGGCAACTGCATTTATTAAGCGTTATGCAAGTACACTAACCAAAGGATGGGATGACGAGATAAAGGATGCCCCTCTTGGACGTATGCTGGAGGAAACAGTGGCCAGAGTGCGGGAATCAGATCCTGTCGGTGGAGACTGGTGTGTGAACGGCAATGAAATGACAGTTTGGGTAGATGCAAGCTCCGTGGCCACGGGACTAGCACTAGAGGTGAATGGGAGCGTCATGGAAGATGCTTGCTGGTTGCGTCCAACCAATGATGCCAAACACATTAATCTTGCTGAGCTTGATGCGGTGATCAAGGGCGTGAATCTTGCCCTGCAGTGGCAGGCACCAGTTATGCATGTGGTCACTGATTCAGCATGTGTGCATCGGTGGGTGTCTGACACCCTGACAGGAAGGACGCGCATGAACACGAAGGCAGCGGGTGAAATGCTGATGAGGCGGCGCTTAGAGACACTGCGAGCTTTGGTGGAGGAGTACGCACTGACTATGACTGTGATGTTGGTGAAATCTTGTCAGAACCGCGCTGACAGCCTCACCAGAGTGCCGCAATGCTGGTTGGAGATGCACAAGAAAGGAGGAGAACCGTGCAAGTGAGTTGTGTCACTGCAACGAGCCAGTTGAGCAAACGTCAGGTGACCCACATCCACCAGCAGAGTGGGCACCGGTGTTAAAAGAACAATGTACTTTGCTAGGACTGTAGATCCAACGGTGTCTAAGGAACTGGTAAAATCTGTCGTTAGAACCTGTGAAGCCTGCCAATCGATGGATCCAGCACTAGTGCATTGGAAGAAAGGAAATTTGAGTGTGAGAAAAAACTGAGCAGGTTAGCAATGGATGTAACCCATTGCAATGGTAGCCATTTTCTTTACGCCATTGACTGTGGTCCCTCCGTTTTGCAGTATGGCGGCCACTGAGACGGTAAGACTCTGCTGGTGTCATTCGTCAGCTAGAGACAGTCTTCTACGAACGAAGGCCCGCCGACTGAAATACTGACTGACACCACGTTCACTTGCAGACAATTTAGGAATTTGTAAACAGCTGGGGCGTGCATTTGAGGTTCCGGTGCGCTTACGTGCCGTCTGGAAATGGCATTGTGGAACGCAACCACAGAAGCGTCAAAACCATAGCGGCCAGGAAAATTGTTCAGTCTTGGAAGCGGTTTACTGGCATAACGTCACACCTAAGGACAACCTTTTCACCTTCCACGGCACCGGCTGATGTACTGCACACATACCACGTCCGGGTGAGAGGCATCGACGCCGACGCCCCTGCCTGAATCACAAATAACCGAAGGGGAATACAAGAAAGGGACATTGTCTGGGTTAAGACTCCACGTGGTAAATGCACGACCAAATTTGGAACCGGACGTGTGACCGAGGTGGTGAGTCAGCAGTCAGTGAGGGTCGATGGAACGCCTCGTCATGTTAGAGACCTGCGCCCTTTTGGGGCTCAAATCCCACAACTGACGAAGAAGACACGGAGGATAGTGAACAGCCAATATACATAGAGTTGGATTCAACAACCAATCACTCCGATAGCGGAAGTTTGCCAATAGATCGGGGCGGTCTAATGAGAGCTCCTCTGATGAAGAAGTTCAACCAATCCCCCTTCGGAGGAGCACCGAACAAAAGACCGTATCCTCACTGTCATCTGTGTGATCAGGAGATCAGGGGGAGTGTGGCGGACATGAGACAGAACCTGGGATGAGCACAACTGGTCACGACTTGCCTTGTCCCCGCCAAAAAGAGCCCGTATTTGCTTAGCATGTAAAGCTACTGCAGTTGAAATGAGGGAGAGAAAAAAGCACTTACCGCTCTGCCGTAATCCATCCTCGCCACATAATGTAAAAAGAATGAGGGGGACATCGCATTTTTATGCAATAACGATGCAATGCATTATGGGACATGGACACAATGAATTATGGGATCACATGAAGACGCAAGGGATTATGGGTACATGAACAACTATAAAAACAACTACTTTTTTCCGAGTCGGGGAGTTCTTCGAGGGACGTTCACGGTTGACGGCTAGAACGGGCAGTTAGTATGATTTGGAGACAGAACTCAAGAAGGAACGACTCAAGTTTGAAATACCAGCTGGGAGAGCTTGAATTTACTCGCTGGTTACTGTTTTCTTCATTCGCCTCATTGGTTCATTCTGCTAAGACAAGTTTCTTTTTAGGTTGTAAACTTCTTTTTATATTTTCTGAAATTTCAATGAAAGTCAAATTCTCCAATTGTTTGTAGGTATATCATAACAGAAATTTTCATTACAGATTCCCAAACTGCAGATGCTAGAAAGTAGTCAGTTATTTCATTTTATCCCATTCTTGCCTGGTTGTCTTTCAATTTTTTTAGCCCTAGCATGGGCTGCAACACTCCAGATCCAAGTCTCAATAAATTCTGGTTCATCCAAGCAACTTAAACATCCTATTAGCAATGCCATATTGTTGTATTGTGTTGTTCTATGACATGTGATCAGTAGTCAACTTTTGCCTGTCTCTTAGTTTACTATACACTTTATTTTTCTTCTAATTAACATATCCAAATAGGTATAATCATATTTACAAATCCACTACAGATTCTTTTATAGGATACTTTCCTTACATTTAAAAAGAAAAAGTTCAATTGCTATAATATCATATCATATCATGGGCCAAATATAAAGATAAAAATTGCTGAAAAATTGTAAAAAAAAAAAAAAAATGTAATTGAATATTAACAAGTCAAAATCTGTAAGTATAAACTCTCAACTAGGGACAAATGATTCAGATTTCAATAATAACAATCAAAATATGAAAGAACTGTAAATGAACCTGAGTAAAATTGGAATTCCATCATAATTCTTCACCATTTCTCGGCTTTGTGGGTCATCACACAACAACAGGCGCAGAAGATTAGATGCCAATCTAAAAGAAAATTTCAAACAGTTCAAAAACATGGCGAACAGCCCAATTTTTTTTTTTTTATGAAGTATAGAGAAATTTATTTACTGAAAAAAAGTTTGAACAAAGTAACTATAAACAATTTTTTTTCTATCCTCTGCCAGCCACATTGCCAGTGAGACACCTTGCAAGAGCCACTCCGTTTTGTGAGGATCATTCCTTAATTGAGACACAAACGCTCCAATCCTCTGAAGAAACGCCATCGAACGAGGGCCAATAATCCCAGAAGTCTTCACTGCCACAGGAGTAAAAAAAAAAAACCTATCAGATCCCGGTTCAACCACGGACCTGATCAAATTACAGGCTGAAAATGTATCTGCACAGGTCGCATCTCAAATCAACGACTTCCCCATTTTAAAAGGGAAACTGGTAATTCCATCACCATGGTCGAGGCCTACGGGTTCGATTTGGGAAGGGAACCCAGCTGCATCTAAACCTCATCTGATGATGTTGTTTATTGCTGCATGCTGTGGAAAGTAGCCAGCACTACGACAACAGGAGAGAGGATGCAAAACAAACTCATCGATGGAAGCTCCACATCTGCATCTGTGACGCTCATATAATTTGAGTCCAAGACGGATCGCGACTCCAACTTGAGTGCTCTCATCATCTAGAAGGGTACCGGTAGATGAAGAGGTACCACTACTCGGTTGTGAAGCAGATAGTAGACAGGTGAGAGGCGATGCTGATCCAGAGAGAGCCTCAAATTAGTAAAATTAGTCTCGCATTTTATTTTATCCCAGCTTTTTTGTTTTGATGTGTCTAGTGGGATAGAAAGTAATTCTTGGGCCCAGATGCTGCAAGCTTGTTCGAAAGAACTACCCGAGAAACACTGAGATGATCCACCGAGTATCTCATCAATTAATTTGTGACTGGACAAAAGTGAAGAAAGATATGCTGCTGGAAGGGCCAAATCTACCACTGATCGAAAGCCCAGGCCTCCAAAACCCAAAGGGTACTTTGCCTGCCTCCAGTCTGTGTCGTCGAAATTAATGTCACAAATTAGCTCCACACATCTCTTAATTGTGATATCTATCTCATTTAAGAAATCTTGTTCGAAGTAGCAAGGGGCACTTCGGATTGTGTAGAGGAAACTCGGTAGCGAAAAACTATTCTTCAAGAGGAAGAGGACTGCATCAATTAATTGCAATTTCTCAGTCATTCTTGTTAGAATGACATGCTTAGTATCCAAATACTCTCAAATGGCCATTGGAAAGACTGGAGAATCAAGAATAAATTCTTACATTTTAGACAAAAATCATTTTATGTCAACTTTTTCTTTTCATAAACAAAGTCATTGATTATCCATATTGACAGTAGAGAGGAATGAAAAAAGATGAAGAAAATCAATAATTAACCTTAATGATTTTTGGTAATTAGAATTAAAAAGCATGGTCTCTTTATATTGCTTCAGATATGGAAATTAAAAAAAAATCAGGTTATCACTAATTGAAGGAGCTCATTCAAAGAAAGAATTACTTTTTGGAGGTTCCATCATATTCTTCTATGATCTTCAGAATGGTCTCCACTGTGTTTAGTTTCCCAATCTGTTGACATAGTTCAGGGCTGTGAAATAAAAAAGCAATGTATGATGAGATCTTGTATGGGGGTTGACTGGAAAGTTCATAGGCTGGCCAAGATATAAATATAAATAGATACACCAGTTGGGAGAATAAAACACATGTAAGTGTACCAGAATACAGCAACTGGCCAACCATCTGTTGTATTCTTGTACACTTGCCGGTCTTAGTCCTCCATTTGGGGTGTTTACTTGTGTTTATATCTTATATCACCCATGAACTTTTCAGCTGACCCTTGTAGATGAAGAGAAATTTTTGACTTTTTAAAAACATTTTCTGTGACTCTTAGTCTGTGTCTATGTAGATATATGTATATGCTAACCATCAGTCTGAAAAAGATAAAAGTCATGCACATGCCTCCAAATGGGCTGCCTTACATAGAGCCCAACATTCTCGTTAATGGGTCCAGGCTGCAGGTAGTTGACACTTTTGTATACTTAGGCAGGGATGGCTCATTAGATGTGGAAGTGAATTACCCCATTGAATGAGCAAATCAAGCATTCAGGAAACTTGAAAAGAGAGCACAGCTCTTTCTTTTTCTGAAATGTGGACCATCTATTGAAGGCACATTAAGGTCTTAGAGCATTTTCACCAGCAGTGCCAGAGATGAATCTTGGACATTAGTCTTGTACACCAGACACAAAAGTCCTTCAGCATACAAACATAGTATAGAGGAACTATTTCTCCATAATCAAATGCGTTGGTCATTTGATGTGTATATAGGATAACAGATTGCCCCAAATACTTTTTATGGTGAGCTGATACAAGGTAATTGTTGTAACCTAGAAAAGGTTACTGAATGGGGGATAACTAAAACAGAGGTTGGAAATGAAATAGTAATCTTTATAACATCAACAAAATAAAATACTTACTAGTGGCATGAAGTAGGTAAACCACTGCTAGTGGACAGCATATTACCTCCACTTACAATAGTGCCCAATATATTTATGAGGATTGGGACATACCCATTAGTCTTCATAGGTATGGTATATAACAGTAATTGACCCAAAAGAAATGTTTCAAGGATGTTGGCGTTAATGTTGAAGACTGGGAAACTATTGATGGAGATAGATCTGGCTGGAGAAGATTGTTTTGGGAATGCTGCAACAATTTTAAGCAGAAGGGAATTGTGCATTTCAACAAAACGTGCACCATTAAGAAAGGAGAAATAGAATCTGTCTTAGAGTTATTAGGACACCAACATGTTATTGACTCCATGTCATGTCATTCAGGCAAAAGGAGGAGGTATGACATGTTATTAAATATTTACACTATTTACATTCATACTATTGTCCTCATTTTTGTTGTTGTTAGCACAATGTTTTAGCTATTGTGCCCTATGACCTTCTTTAGGTGTTTGTCAATCCAGGTAGTCTACAGGGTCACTTGAACTGAACCTTTTATTTAATCTACAGGGTAGGCTATTCTCATTCTACTGCCCATGTCTGGTGATAACTCAACTAATTCTTATTTTTTTGCACTGCTCAGTTATTTCCACTGAGTCCAAGTACACATTGCCTGGCCCAGAAATTGAACTCATAATTTCCTTAATGAACACACAGTTTCCTTTACAAAACTGTACTTATTTAGTTTCAGCAACAATATTTGAAAATGTTCCTTTCATTCTTCTTTGACTTTGGTTATTAAATCATTTTACTCCTTCAAAAACATTTATTTGTAAACAGTCAAGCAATTGTCATGGCATCACAGGAGTTGAAAATGAAGTCAGACACTTATAATCAAATACTTTAAAGTATACTTTATTCAAATTTATAGTATACTTGTATACTTATAAGTCAAATATTTATTAAAGCAACATTGAATCTAGATACATTATATTTTATGTTTGACATTATAGTTCTTCTTTCAATATAATCTGATTACTACAGATAGTTTATGTTTTAAGATGCAAAGAGATCATGTCACTTACCTCTTAGCCAAGGTTATAAGGGCATGAAGGGCACAGTGTATCAGCAGTAGATCAGGAAATGAAATCAAAATCACCAAAGACTGAAATAAAATTCAAGAACATAAAAACAGTCAAATTAGCATTCTGTGAAAATGATTTTTTTTTTATAATCTGATACAAAAATATTAAGTAAACTTTCACATAAATATTTCATTTTTAAATGGAAAGATGCCTTATAACAACTGGATTGTCTACTAGCAATGTAACGACCAGAGTATGCTTCAGGCTTTTTGTTTTTAATACTTATCCTCTTTATTACTGCAGAAACCAAATGAAAATAATCTTTGTTTTCTGCAGGTTAAAACAAAATTATTAATATACAGTACCTCACTAGCCAGCCTTTTATACTTGACTGATTAGAATCTGAAATAGATTTTTATAATGAGCATTCAAGTCTGAAATTATTACATACAGAGAATGACACTGAAATCTCTCAAAGAAAGATCACTTGCCACAGTATGGTGGTTAACACGATGTTCTTTCAAGGCAATCATAGTGAGTTTGTTATTGTGTGCATGTTTTATGAATTTGACCAAGTGCCAGCCAATGTTGGTCATGTGCACTAAATATATTTAAAGATTGAAACAGTAATGAAGAGTAAACAAGTATCAATTTGTGTGTTGCTAAGCATCAGGTGGGTCATGCATCTAAAGACAGTGCAGTAGAAAAAACTGCTTCTTGCTCATTTTTGAAGGTTTTTTTCTTTTAAAAATATTACCTTGGCTGAAGATTGCTTAACTTTGTCAATTGTGAAACTAATATCCAACAACATATAAATCCATAAATACATTGAACAAGCAATGTAAGTGTTTCATAGTAAAGAAAGTTATACATTTGGTTAATTTTAATAGTGAAATATTTCTCACCTTATGTACATCAGCAGCCAACAGCCAACTCCTGTGTTTCATGGTTGTTGAGAGTTTGTGGAATATACCTAAAAAGCATCACAAGAAAATTGAGTAAGACAACTATATGATAAAGATATGAAGACAAAATGGGACAGATTCATTGTAGTTCTGATAATTTCTTCATTAGCCAGAAGCAGTGGTCAGTATATTTTTGGGAGGTAATATTGGGGTACGATTTACATTGTCAACTTTTGATGCTTAATGTGGGGTGAAAGTATCAAAATTGTCCAGAGTAATATGTTTATTAATCATGAAATAGCTTCATTTATTTGCAACATAGATCATAGCAAAAGTAAAAATATATAACTATCAAAAAAAACATAAAACAAGAACAACACTAAGGAAATGTACTGTCACTCCGATTATGTTGTCGCATGGATTGATATGGCCCTGTTTTTTTTTATAGTGATATGTCCCTTCAGTGATTAAGACTCTTCACAGAATCCTTTTTTTTATTATCTATGAAATGACATGCATCTTTCGGTAAGACAGTTGAGTAGTTTCCAGTTTCTTTCTCTATAGTATAGAATTCAGAGATTTCTTTCTTAAACTGCTTGTCATCCAAAGCTTGAGAGCTCATTTTACTCAGTTGTTTGACCCATAACAGGATGAAGAAGAGTTGGATTCATGCCTTTCCCAAGAGCATTAGTGTGAGAGTGAATGCAACAGTAGACCAAAATTTTAATGCTACTCAGCAATTCCACTTTCCACATTGATATCCATTAAACTATACTGCACATTGCAAATTATGCACAAGTCACACTTGGTGTAGCAGGAATTCTCTCTTTCTACACTGAATGGCCTGCCTGAACTTGGGTACTATTTAGTGTTGCCAGGATGATGTAAGTGTCCCTAATACACAGCTTTCAACAAGAAGTCATGATTAAGATAAAAGATTCATGTACATGCACTTTCAGTAATTTTGAGTATCACCATCAACACTAAAGAATAATGAGGGAAATTAAAATGTTATTTATAACAAATTATGGAGTCCATGCTACTCTATCATCATGTGTGTGTGTGTGTGTGTGCACAAAGGGTACTGTTAAACAAAGACTGTTTATTAAAGAAATTCTAAAATCTGAAAACTTAGAATCAATCTTATGGAAATCAGTGTTTGAAATATGTGTCAAAATTTTATATTTCATTTAATCTGAATCTCTGGCATGAGGAGTTATCATTATTTACATTATCGGATTATTGACCTTATTTTTGTTGTTATCACGATATTTTGGCTGTTGTGCTCTCTGACTTTCATCAGATGTATCTTGATGCAGGTAACCTACAAAGAATTCCAAAGTGAACCCTTTAATTAAACTTCAGAAGTAGACTATTCTAGTAATTGTGAGTATGGTCTGCGCAGTGTGTACTTGGACTCAGTAGAAATAGGGCAAGCAATAACTGAGCAGTACTTAAAATAAAAACTAGCCCAGATATCTCTCGATATGAACAGAGGAATGAGAACCCTCATAGATTAAATGAGTGGAATGAACAGTTTACCTCTGTAGAGTAAGTAAACACTTCAGTTTGGAATTCCTTGTAGGTTAGACAGATTGATATAAACCTGATGAAGGTAGGAGGCAAAACTGCTGAAACTTTATGATAACAGCAACAAAGATAAGAACAATAGTTCATATGTAAATAATATCCAATAATAAAGTAGATTACATTATTCAGACCTTACAATTTCTCTACACTGTCCACTGATCTATAAACAAATTCAGCTAAAAGAAAGTCAACAGATATTTTAGCAATATAGGATCAACTGTCATATCAGGTGTTTAACCAAAATAAATGATCAATGATAGGAATTCTTCAAACACAATACAAAATAGTAAGTGAAGCACTGAAGACAAAGAATGAAAATTGCTTGAAAGAGAAACAGCAGACATCAACTTGCTTAGAACAACAAAAAATGCTTCAACATTTGAAGGAGTGACAAAAAGTAATTTTCTTTATGAAATATAACCTTTTACAAAATATTACAAGTTCATGCATTTTAATTCATACATTTGAAACTTTTGGAGCTACAAAACAGTATAGTTTATCAACCCTGAATTTTTTGTATCTAACAAACACTGGAATAAATTCTAAAATAATACTTATTGCAATATCCCTTTATTGGTTCAAGTACTGGTTGAAAAATTTATTGATTTCCACCACACATGCCTACAAACAGTTATTTGGCTAAATGTCTCCAGGATGCCTGCAAATTGTCTTTCTTTATATAATTCTTTTAAATTCTAAATTATTTTGTTGAAAAAGTGATTTCTGGGAAATTTACCAAATAATCTTCATTTTTTCCCTATATACACTGTATTAAATCAAATACATTTAATTAAAAATATTTCTGTTTGTATCTAAAGTTGTGTATTTATGATGGTCAGACTAGCTAAGTGACAAACTTTTACTTGCATTAATTCTATATATAAATAGATAGATAGATAGATAGATATTACTTAATCATTATTTTTAGTGGATACTTGTATTTGAGTAGATGCTCTGTTTATTTATTAAACTGTATATTTATTTATTTTCATGTACTGGACTGAATATTCAAGAAGTTTTATTAGTGAAAAATATGCACCCTCTGGCAGGAACTGAACCACATTCCCCTAGTCATTAGATTGGCCGTAGAGTGTGTCAATGTCCAAGCAAAGGTGAATAGTTCCCTTAAACACAGATTTTTCTCCGACTCTCAAAATAGACTGCTCAGTTTCGTATCCTACTGCAAACAAAGCAATTTCTAAAGAAAGAGATGAATTTTTTTATTTATCCATTTAATAAACTGTATATTTATTTTTGTCTATCGGCCTATATATAACATAAATATATATAGCATAATTAGAAAGAGTAGAGAAGAAGAGAGAGAATAAGTGAGGGTTGGTAAATTTAAAAGATACCTAAAGATGAGAAAGCCTTAAAAGATTTAATAAACCTTTTTTTCGAATTTGAATTCAACCACTTACTTGTGATTTCTTTGAGGATGTCTCTTACAAATGGTCTTTCTCCATATTCAAGATAACTAGAGATATTATCTTTGAGAATCTGAAAATATAACATAATACTTAAAAAAAGAACAAAATGGACACAAAATCACAATTTATTTTAAAAAATTACCCAGCATCTCATATTTTCTCTCACTTATGTATATGACCTAGTTTTTGTTATGAATAATCAAGTATATTTTGGAAAGCAAGATGTTTGGAGAGTAGGTATCGTCATTAAAAACCTGTAGGGCCTTGTTTTTCTGACATGTTAATCGATTTACTGACGGTCGATTGAACACCGAATGTGTTCATAATTATGGTGTAGCAGATGATTAATTTCATTAGGGTTTTGGTTTTTTTCCGTAAGGGGAGACAACCTTTAAAACACGTGATCTTTTAAGGATAGATTTATCAGTTTGTACATTCATCTTTCAGAAATTCTGCAGCTATAAACATATATAAAAACAAATTGAAATTCTTTTAAAAATAGTCAGGGTCTTCAGATTGTAGTAAACTTTAAAATATATGATTTGTAAATATAGTTTGACTTAATAACAATATTCCCTAAGAATTATCTCATCAAAATTGAACTTTAAAAGATTCAAAAACTTTATAAATTATTCAATTTTAAATTGTAAAAAATGAAAATAAATCTTGTAAAATCTTATTTTTAATCAAAAATTTTTTTTTCTTCAGACAACATTGTCTTTAATATATATTATTCATAAAAGCAATTAAAAGTTTCTCTAATTGAATAATGTCTTAGTTTTATTGTATTTTTTATGTTTTGATTCAGAACAGATTTATGGTAAAACCAGGTGTGATTTTGAAAAAAAAAAAAAAAAAAAAAAAATCAGTGATTTAAATTCTTCAAAAAATTCTGCTTTTAATATGGTCACTACAAATTATCTTGATGAATTTCTAAAGCTTTCATAAAATTAAATAAGAGGGAGAAATACATGTAAAATAAAAAAATATTTTTACCAAGATTTTCTAATAAAACAATTTCAAAAATAATTTCATTCATTTGTGAATATGTTCTGAAAATTTCATTAAAATCTGACAATTATTTGATTTTTGCAAGAATTTCCAAATTAATGTGTCTGTCACAACAAAAAAAGAGGCTAAAATTTGCTATGCTAAAAGTTAGTACAACTGCTGATGCAAGAAAAACAAGTTTTTTAATGAAAAGTTCAAATGTTCTAAAAAGGATTAAAAATTTCATTAAATAACCAAAAAATACTTTGATCCTTCTTCTTAATAATAACAATAATTTTGATGATATTAACTATATTTTCATTATACATGTTTTCATCACGGTATGCTGATTTTTTTTAGTGATCTTGTGGGGATACCTAGTTTAAAGAAAACTGAAATATAAATAAGCAGGCACACAAGTAGAGAAGTGGAAAGTGGAAAGAAACTTGAATCATTATTATGTGCAGGATAAATGACACACCATGCATGCACGAATCACAGACTTTTAATATTATATAGATATACACTTTTATCTATTTTTTGTTTTTATTAATTGTAATCTAACAAATCTTATTCATTGAGTTGCCGTTTGTGTAATCTTTTATAATTTTTGTTTTTACACAGTATAAAAATTGCATATTTTGCTTGTGGTGATTCATAATTAGAATTCTGGTTTGAATATATTTTTCATTCAATGTATCTAATAAAAAAGATATCAACTTTATTTGGATTTATTCTTGAAATAGTAAAATTTTGAAGTCAGTTTGTAAGCAAAAAAAAAGAAAGTAAATGCTCAAAAATTGCTAAAATCAATAAATCTGATTTTTGGTGTCAGTACTTATCACATCCAACACCAGTTTTCACACTGAGTGAAATGTTGATTTTCTAGAAGCAGTGAAAAATCAAGCTGCTCTACTGCATATGGCTCTTAGTTCCATTTTCTGTAATGTTTGAGAGGAAATTCATTTTGAAGCTAACATTTTCCCCTAAATATATTTCAGTTCTGTTCAATAAGATCAGCTGTAAAGAGTTTAGAATATGTTAACTAGATACATTTGTTAATTCCTCTTCAGATTCTGCCAACTTGCTAGTTGGTTGTTAATAGTTAATAACATGAAGTCATGAGTAATAAATGAATGTTAAATATGTTTTAAAAGTACCTGTGCAAGGCTTGGGGTAGCATCTAGTTCAAAGAAGAGAGTTTGGTAATTACTGTCTCGCATTAAGATGCGTAAAGAAACCAATAAAGGCAAAAGGTTTTCTGGGGGTGCCAGCAGCCTCCACTCACTGTAACAAAAGATAAATAGGATTAAAAATGCTAAAATATGCTGCTGCTGCTGATGATGATGATAATAATAATAATAAATGAAATACTCATTCATTTTCGTCTACAACTTTAATACATACAAATGGATTTCAAAAGGATTTTTCAATTGATAGAACTTTTAGTTACAAGGCACTAATTAATTGGGTCTCTCTGTTAAGTGTCACCAATGACATAATCTTTTGAATGGAGATTTCCGAAAAATATATATGGCAATCAAGAGACACCAGATATAATGAAGTCAACATTTATAGATGGTCACCTGAGAGTAATTATCAATAGATCACTCACTTGGAGTTTTCTTCAAGTAAGTGAAATTATGGCACAAGGGTGACACCAGAATGACTCCTAAATGATCATGTGCATTATAAAGCAAAAATACAATTAGAAAATTTAAAGGTAAAATTCTGAGAACATTTTGAAAATCTAGTTATAACTTTAAGTTTACCATTTTAAGGCATAATTTTACATAAAGGAAAATAGGTCTAAAATATAATGGAAGAGAACAGGCCCAAAATATAATGGAATGGAACAGATCCAAAATAAATGGAAGGGGGACAAGCCCAAAATATATTGTAACCAAACAAGCTCAAAACATAATGGATGGGAACAGTTCAAAATATAATGGAAGGGAAGTGGCCAAAAGTATCATAAAAGCAAACTGGCCCAAAATAAAATAGATGGGAACAAACCCATTATATACTGAAAAAGTCCAAATTATCATGAAAGGAAACAAACCCAAAATACAGTGAAAAGAAAGTAGTTCAAAATATAATGAGAAGTAACAGATTCAAAACCTCCTGAAAGAGAAGTGGTTCATAATTTTATGAAAAGAATATACATACAAAGATCTTTCTTTGCTATTGTATAGTTTTCTGTTGCATGAAGAATCAACAAATTAACATTTATTAGAACAATTTCAATATATTTTTAAAACATCTAAATTTTACCAATATCTGAAAAAGAATAATATCAACATGAGAGAGCTTAAATGTAATCACATTAACAATCTACTTACTGATTGCAAAGTCTTTTCTTGACTAGAGACTGAAAGATGTCATGTAGATATTGGGGAAGATGTTTGAAGTTTCTACAGCTCTTGTATTTACAGCTATAAGAAGAAAGAACATCAATACATTTGGAATGAACTAGAAATGTCAGGTGAAATTTCATAATGTGAAGGAAATTGTGTGTACACACGAGTTTGTCAAAATAAGAATAGCATATATAAGAAAACAAAGGAAATTTCCATAAAACATATGAGCCATAGCTCAAGGCCTTTTTTTTTTGTTTTTAAGACTTCTCATATCAATTATAAGATAGATTTTATGATGAAAATTAAGTTTTTCTAATTTTGGTCAAAGGGTTCTTGCACAATCATGATTCTCAAAAGCTGTATTTTTGAGAATGTTAAAAAGTCCTATGTTTGACATTTAAAGATGCACTAACCACAACAAAAACTTGGGCAAGAAACATATCAGATGAAACATTGTGATAAAAAAAATATGAAGATATTAATAAAATATTTTGAATAAAGAACAAAACAATAAATTAAAGAGAAGGTAACAGGTAAATAAAAATTGTAAATGTCCTTTTATTAAATAAGAATATCAAATGCAAAGAAAATCGTTTCAGCTGAAGAAATAGAAATCAATATAAGCCCAGCCTGGGAGAAAAAGAAAGAAAAAATGTAAGAAAAAAAAAAGAAAGAGAAGAAAGAAAATTACTGGAAGGAGAATTAGTAAATAAATGATAATAGAGAGAAGTAAAGAATGAAGTTGAAAGAAGAAAATGGAATGAAGGGGAAAAAAGAATAATGTAAGGAAAAGAATGCAAATGAAAAGAGAATTAAAACTATAAAGAAAATCTTGTTTGTGAGATGCATTCTGGACTACAGATAAATATCCCAAGAATTTACAGGTAAGTCAATATGGCCAAGTGTTTTCCAAGAAAAAGATTGGCATGGATTTGTTGGCTATTAGCAAACAAAAGAGAAACAATATCTCAGTTTCTCTCTCTCTCTCTCACACATACACACACACACACAAAATGATTGACAAATTGGCAGTAATACCTCAAAATACTATAAAAATGGGAAGTTCTTTATGATCACAGATAAGAGCCATTAACAAATAATGTTTTTTGAAGGAATATCTCTCTTAGACTTTGTTAGGGGGAGCTAATTTCCTTCTCCGATAAAGGACGATAACTCAAAATAGAATTAAGTTACTTCCCTTGTCTATGAAGACGCACACGCCAATTCTGAATTGAACATAGCAACAAGTTGTCACGTCTATGAAATTCATTGTTTAATCCTTGCTACTCTCAGACAGTGATTGAATGAAAGGTTGTTTATTTATGTGATAAAATACACTTGTCTTATTTTCATTCATTTTTGTTCATCCCAACAACCCGAGATATAACAGGACTAGAAGCAAGTTGCTAGATCCTATAAAAATCAGTTGTGCTTATATATATTAATGAAACATAGCTTTTACCATATTTGCTTGGTCAGAATCCTAAATGCATTGTACAGGAAACATTACTACACAAGTATATGTAATGGTTTAAACATTGATCTTTACAAGCCCTACTACCAATAGTCAATAACAGTGTATATTAATAGGACAGTCCAATATTTTAATTACTAGACAATATTCCAAGAGTACATTTTGTTCAGAATTGCTAAATAAATTAAAAGAAAAGAAGTAGTATTGAAACATATCTTGAAACCCACCTGAATTGCTCTAAGGCATGGGCTTCAGCTGCTAAGTGGATACTGGGAGATGAAAAGGAGTCCTCAACATTCTGCAATTAAAAGTTAAAATAAAATAAATAAAAAGGAATGCAAGTAGCTAAGGAGTAAACAACAAGATTTCAAATTTGATGAGCAATCATAGAATTTTGTATAAGTTATGATGAAAGATATGATACTGTAAAACAGATCAATAAATCGAAAGAAACCAGTGCTAAAATAGAAGTACCTGATATTAAGTATTCAATAGATATATAGACATGGAACATTAACTGATCCTTTGATCATAAAGTCAAATGAATCTATTTCAGTGTTGTGGCTTAAGAAGCTTAACCATGAATGTGGATAGGTATAAACATGCTCATTAATAAATAAATAAGAAACTAGATTTTTTAAATGATATATTGCATAAATAGCATCAAGGAAAAGTGAGTTAATATTGTATATTTATTGCTACATAACAATAATGAAATCAAGAGCATTGATTGCTTGTAAACTTTAAGCATATAGTTATATTGTTGAAATTAAGCATTTTAATTATTCTGCAAATTATTTGAGCTGATATCCACATTCTTGTTATTTTTATCACAGTGCTTCAATCTTCTTCAAAGGCATGTTGCATTTGGTGGTTTTTGAAATTAATTAGGCACAGATAGGAACAGAGTGTTTTGACTCATAAATCTGGATGACAAAATATTGTGTTTGTATAAAAAGTATTTGTGTAGAAAAGACATAAGCACTTATGAAAAGAAAACTAGTATGTAAGGCATAAACACTGTTGTGTTTCTCTCATTCACTTACAGAGAAAACACAGCGATAATCCAATTAGGTTAATTAACTGTCGCTCCAACAGTGTATGACGGGCAAGGACAAAGGCCAAAAGAACCGCTCCACCTGCATTGCTTATATAGAATATTCTAGAGAGTTCTACAAATTTTCATTCAATTCTATTGGATAGATTCGTATGCAATCAATTTGCATTGGACAGATCTAGATGTTAGCGATTCCCACAACACCTTTCCACCAAAACTGATGCTACACTAAAAGCATCAACAAAGTGTCTCTCTCTCAGCTTGTGTGTTCTCTTAGATTGTCTAGGATTGTTGGGTCCATTCTCTGGTACAGGCAGTTTGGTCTGGAGTAGAAGTGGTCTGGTTTGTCCTTGAGCTTGTGGCACTTCTTTCAAGACCTCCAGTGGATAATCAGTTGGAAGCTCAAAAATATTGTCCATCTCATCTCTAGGTTTGTAGTCTTTTGTAGCACAGATGTAGCTTTTCTCAGTTTCATCTCCATACTGAGCCATGAGGAAAAAACTTGATGTTGAAGCAACGAGTACCCAATGACTTTGTGATGACTGCTGGTACCCAGTGGGGATGTTTGTCTCAGTGAGGTCCAAAGTATAGTGCATATACTGGAGCACCAGCCTTGTATTGCTTAATTACCTTGGTGATACCTCTCGGGTTTGAAGTCATTTGATGACACCTTGGATTGCTTGCCCTGAGCTATGTGTGCTGGTGAGGGCAGCAGAATCAATCCTAGTCTGTATCTGCTAGGACATCAAGAGTTTGCTTGGAGATAACCCACAGGATATCAGCGTTCTCTGGTCCTGCATCAAGAACTCTTTGCAGAGCTTGCTTTGGAGACAGAGAAGATTTTCTCAGTGCTTGCTTGAAAGTCTGTACCAAACGTTCTGCTGCTCCAATCTAACCATCTCCACAAACACAAAGCATTATGTAAAAACATATGTACATACTTGAAAACTAATAAACTGATATGGAAAGCTGCAATGATCAAATATTGTTCTTTTGAAGGAAGTTTCTCTATTAGGTTTGATATCTAAAGTGATCTGCTGGTAAAAATTGAAACCATCAAGAAATAAAACCTTTGTTCAAACTATTAACTATGCTGCCTCTTGTGGCCCTACTGAGGATTGAACTCACCATACTTGGTTAATGAATTCCTGAAGATATTAGACTCCTACTCCTCAACTTAAAGGGTGTATTCTGAGAAGTGGCACTAGCTTGTCTCCATTCGTGCCAAAGTGTATTTAACCTTTAGGAATTATTTAAGATTATTGGAATTTCTCTTCAGTGAACATTTTTCTGGTGAAGTGCTGTCCCTCCGTTTATAAAGCAAGATCCTGTTTTAACAGAAACAATGTAATCTATTGAAATATCTGATAAAGCAACACAAAAATCTGTAATGCAATAAAGTGAATACATTCATGGATTTAATCCATCAACTATTAAGGTTTTGTAAAAGCAAAGAAATAAAATTTCGAAATTCTATGTTGACAGATTCCCAAAAAGAAAATCAAATTAGTAAAGATGGAAAAATTGCTGAACACTATGAAGAGATAATGGAATGGTGGATCAGATGGATTATAAAAATAAGTTAGTTGATCAAGAAAGGCTTCGTAATCAGTAAAGGGTATCAGAATGTATGTGTTGTACCTGTACATTCATTGGTCTTTTGCTTATGTTTATAGAAAATATTAACCAAGTAATCATGATCATAAATATTATAAAACATTCACCTGTAATTCACTGACTGGAATCTTCAGAAGATCTAGTAGGTGACCAAGCTCCCTGCAAAATTGAAATAAGAAAACAAAAGAATTAATAATATGTTTAGTTAGTCTGTGAAACAAGCTTTTTTAACTATTCTTTTGGGAATCAAAACTTATATATGGTGTCCAGATATTAAAGCTTTGACAGTGAATCACTAGCCAGTAAAACATATTTTTCCAGTCCAAATACACACATAGGTAAATATATTTGAAGTAGAAATGAAGTAGAATTTTACTTAAAATACATTGTTGTGTATATAGTTCTTATATGCTACTAGTAATAATGATGATTCTTGTTAGTTGCCCACATATTTCAATCTAGAATCTGGGCATTATTTTGAGGTCATTACGTATCTCTGTATCTGTGTCTTATATTTCTAGTTTGACTTTATAGATAAAGATTTACAAAGGCTTTCTATGTCATTTGCAAGTTTACTGACTTCTTTCTTAGCAGCTGCAGGAAAATGTCCGATAACCAAAGAGAGTTTCAGTTTGATGGCATGGCTTCTTTGTATATTGAGCCTGTGAAAAACTATGGCACAAGTAGAATGAGATGTTCTTAAAGGTGGCTTGTGGCATACACATTACTACCCCTGCCAAGCAGAAGAGAACATAACAAAAAGGTTAGAGAATTTAGCAAAGTTTATTCCAATACAAAGGATTACTTGCATCACCCAGAAAATATTGAAATGATAATTACCTGGATCATAGGATTTCTGATGCAATTTTCTTTTTTTTAAGTTAGATGATTAAGCAGGATTCAGAGACTTGTTAACAGTTAGAAATGTATCCAAAAATAAGACAAGTGGAAGCAGGTTATATGCTATGATACCAGTTTTTTTGTTTTTGCAAAAACCCCAAATATCTCGGATCAAAACTTTATAGCATACAAAATGTTTGTATGCTATAAGGTTTTGAAGTACCACTTTTCCATGTCACCAAAGAAATCCATTACATGATGGACTCTTTTAATGATGTAGAGGAGATAGAATGTTCCATTACTTTAAACATGACAAATAAAATGTTATGTCTTAAATCATTTTTAGCACTTGCAAATAAATGGATCATAATTTTGTACATCAAAACCCTAAATGTTTCCATCATTTTTTAATGGCCCCGATAAACAAAAATATAAGCAGACACAAGCTTATGGATATTTGAGCATAAGTGTCTCCATATGAATGTACTTGTATAATGAAACACTATACACTGATAAAATAAAATACAGCTGAACAATCAAAGAGTTTAATTCAAAAAGGCAGAAGAGAACATAACAAACAGGTTAGAGAATTTAGCAAAGTTTATTCCAATCCACAGAAAGAGTTAATATTTATTAAGATTAATAAAGTCTCATACACAACTACAATAGAGGAGCATGTACTCAAATTAATTGGCAAAACACTATTTTATGGCAGGTGCACAAAGCAAAAACAATATTTAATGTTGATTCCTTAAAAAGAATAAACTGGAGACATATTGGCAAGTTTTTTTATGCCATATATTTGTTTGCATTCAAGATACAATGTGTATCTTTCTCAGAAACAAGGGAAACAGTTGTTCTTACAAACATCATATTTCTTTAATAAGCAGAGGGCTCCTTGTCTTTGAAGGCGAAATTTTATTTGGAGTCAGTCAGAAATATGATAAGGTCCCAAATTCTGAACATATAACAGTAAATTAGAAGTGAACAAAAGATAAGATGAAGAAGGTTCCAGAGATTAGGACTGATAGACACCAGCAAATGGATAAGAATCTTTTATTCTTTCATTGGAGATTAACTCATACTCTTATCAAAAGATGGGAAATAAGGGGAAACATTATCTAAGCATTTATAAAAGACTCAGGATTTGTTTAGAGTTAAAATTAAGAAATAAGAAATGGATGTAGAGTAATAAAAGTGCTCTTGTCAGTTGTTGCACTTAACTGATCAAAATCTCAACTATGCATAACTAAAATGAAAGAAATCTGAAAAATATCAGCTTAATCCAAAAAAATAATCACTGTTGGATAAACAATATTGTGTGTGTATGTGTCTAAGAATATCAATTTCTTCTGAAGGCTGCCTGTAAAATATAGCCATTGCTGGGTTAAAAACAACAGTAATGAATTGCAGCAAAGCTTGTAAAAAAAAATAATAACAAAAATGACTCACATAAAATTTTAGTGAAATAAATTTATCTTTGTTTTTATTTTTATTTTTTTTACAAGGAAATGAAATCAATGAAAGTTAATTTAAATTTTAAAATAAAATAGGAAAAACAAAAACTTAATTAACTATGTGAAATTGTAATTAAATAGAATAAAAATTTATTTATTCATAAATATTCTTAAGTTTCTGCTTTACTTTATTTCATTTTGGCAACAAGTCAGCCACTTTCTTCACCCAAACAACCAATAAATTCATTGAATATTTCTTTAATTTGATTTTGATTGAAAAGAAAACCATATAAATCTCAGATAAGCTAAGTTGAAGTTAACTGCAGGTTGATGGGTGTAGCCCTCTCATGGCAAGTACTCCCCACACTAGTCACCTGGTACCAGGCAAAATAGGTAAGGAAACCAGGACATGAGGTGACATTTCATACATAAATCCAGAATATAAAATAAAACAAAATATAATGATTTTAAATTGTCCAGGTCCCAGAGAATGTAAGGTAAATGAAAACAGTAAACATGAGAATATTTTAGAGAAAGGAAATCAAAATTTTAAGAAAACTAAAAAAAAGTGTAAAGTTAGAAAAATAACAATAGGTGAAAATTTAGAGCAATAACTAGATATCAAGTATTAAAAAAAAAAAACAGTAGAAGTTTTGAATGCCAAGGATTTTTGGAAAAAAAAATGCTGGCAAATAACCCAGAAAGGGTAATGTGGGAAAAGTCAGGGATTGGATGTTCTTTCCCTAGGGTTTCAAGATTTATTGCCAGTTTTTGTGGCTCAAATTGATAAAATGCAGAAAGCGTGCAGTTGGAAGATGCAAATTCATTGTATTCAGACACTGTCAAGCCCTGTATGTGATCAAAAACATGATCGCCAGAGAGCAGAGTCAAAACACTGTCTACTAAGGTGTCTTGACATAAAGATCATATCTATTCTCTGTTAGAAAAATAAATTATATTTCTGCCACGCATTTTGAATTACCTGTCAGGTCACAGCAGAGACATTTTAATAGACTGACATTGTATCAATGAAATATACTGGTTATATCCCTTTGCTCCTGGCATGTATTAGTTAACAATGAACCAAGGAAGAGAAGTAAGTATTAAGCAGGATTACTATGAGTAAATTTCTACTATGACAAAAGAAAAAAAAAAGAAAATAAAAGAAAAAAGAATTTACACAAGTAGGAAGAAGCAGGCCTTTGTTGTTAGAAGTTGTGTGGAGGATGCGGTGTTAAACCTGAAAGAAAATTGATGCTGAGAGACTAAAGGGTCATTTGTAGAAGAGAAATTGAATGAATTGGCCAGATGCAATAAAATCTTTAATGGTTTCATTTTTAGGAATATCATTTTTGTGTTAAACCTGAAAGAAAATTGATGCTGAGAGACAAAAGGGTCATTTGTAGAAGAGAGATTGAATGAATTGGCCAGATGCAATAAAATCTTTAATGGTTTCATTTTTAGGAATATCATTTTTGCAACATGTACATAATTTGGGTTATATAAGCTTGGTGAGCAAGACAATATACTTGGGATGAGAGTTTGGACTTATCTAAAAATAAACTATGGACAAAACAGAATGAATGTTCTTGTAAAATGGTAATAAAAACAAATGCAATCGCTAAATGAGACATAATAGCAAATATTAAAATGGAAAATATTGGAGCATCAGAATTGTGATTCAGACATCATGAAGAACATTTTAAAAAGAAATACCGTGTAGAATAAAGAACAGAAAGTATGGTTATTAGTAAGAAAATTAAATTTCCCATAACAAATCTTTTTATAATTTTATTGTTCCTCAAAAGTTTTGTGATTGCAAAATGGCTGATGCCATATTGTACCTAATCCACATTTTCTTTATGAAAAATCGCCTCTATTCCACAAAATATACTAGTGTTTGCAGCTTATAAAGTATCCCATTGATGACTTTACTACTTATATGATATGAGGGCTGTAAACAAAGAAAGTGCATGTTTTAAATAAAAACATTTAATGGAGGATCAGTTTACACACCTTAGTTTCATCTTTAGATGTCAAAGAACAAAAACGATGCTGATATTCAGATGTATGAATTAAGCAAGATTCAAAAATCACATTGTAGTGTCAAAGCTTAATAAATTTAATGTTGCAGTTGGTAATCCTGTAAGAACTTTATCTTTATAAGAGGCAGATAAGACCAAAAAGGGAGTATTGCTATCATATGTGAGCTGGAACTGCTTACTTCTCATTTTCCAGCTTTGATAAAGTTCAAAATCGTTTATGCAATCTTGAGGAAGAAAGACTTATTTTCCACTCATGACCTACTCTATAATTATTTTCCATGGCAAATATTCAGGTAAGTGCCATTCTACAGTTCGACCAGTTCAGACCTTTAAAACTAAGAGATTCCATGCTATTTCCACAGAATCAAATCACCTCCATCTCTTCTGTGTTCCAAGAGTAAGAAGTAAGTTCTACTCCAAAAGCTTTTTTTTTAAGAATTGCCACTGTGTAACAAACACCTACATGGATGCTTTTCTTAACACTACAATCTTAAACTACTCAAAGCAATGGTTGTTATATATCCTCATTATTGTCACTTCCTTTTCTCCCTCTTAACACACATTATTTATCAGTAGCATCTTAACAGTAACCTTCTTCCTTGAGAGTGGCTCTCAAGCCTTGTATTGGGTGAAGTATAGGATTAAAAAAATGTAGGGCAAAAGTCCACTCTAGTGAAAAAAATTATTGTCAATTGTTATCTATCCTCCTTATCCTCATAATCTTCACTTACTACCACCTCCTCTTACATTAATATCACACACCTCATTCAGTTATTATCTACCCTGAGTGGCTCTCGAGTTTGGTATTTGGTGAATA